GAAGGTACGGCATATTACTATTCCGATACGCGCTCCGATATACAATAATCGAACAAATTTTAATAAATTAAATCTTTTTTGATCACGTGTTACTGTAAAATAAAAACTTAATAAATTTTTTAATTTATCAAATTTTATTAAATTATCAACATTTTTAATATTATAACATACAATTTCAAATAATTCTAATTGTTCTTCATAATAACCATTTGAAATAAATGAATATAATGTAGAATCTCGATAATATTGAAATTTATTAAATAATTGTTTAGCAAAGTTAAAATTTGAGCAAATTCCAATACCAATACATTGAGAGTATTCATCTTCTTCGCCATCTAAATACCTTTCTATTTCCTTACAATCTTCCAATATACCATAGAAATATGGTAAAAATTCTTCAAACATTCTTGCAAAAATATATTATTAAAAACATTAATCAAAATATCACCTTGAAAAGAATATTTAATTTATCGTACAGTATTACTTGTATATAATTGTAAAAAACCATTTTCCTAAAATAATTTTGAATTGGGAATCTCGTCATATTTCATGTAAATTCTTGTGTTTGAAGAAAACTACAGTTTGTTTGCAGCTTAATTTTAATTTTTGTGTTTACAGTTTTCTTAAAACCAGTTCTCAAAAATGGTGGTACACATTTACACTGTATGCATCTCCAATTTATGCAATATATGTGTGATACATACTTTTAGTACACTTTTATTCCTGTATTAGACAATTAATTTATGATTATCCAGAAGAATTATTTGCAGATGCTGAAATAAATTCAATTGAACTTGCAGATTTTGATGGAATTGAAAGATTGACATTAATTACTGCAGGTAAAGTTGTTTCTACTTTTGATAATCCGGGAAATGTCAAATTAGGTTATCGTGAAGCCATGAATTGGTGAAGATAATAGCTTTCACTCTCCTGCACCTTAATCAATTGAGCGAAGATGAAGATGAGTTTATTGGAAGAGCTGAATACTTAGCGAAGAAACACAAGGTCCGCATGGCTGCTCTTGGTACTAGTAAGTAGAAGAAGAAGAAGACGAGAAAGAAGAAAACACAAATGGAATTTTTAAATTTCGTTTTCAGTCGGAATTTATATGATTTTTTGCTTGTAGTCAAATTGCAACAAATTTTGCAATTGTTGTGAAAATTGCACGACTTGAAGCATTGCACAAAAATACAACTACAAATTAAATTCTATCCCAGATAACCAATCTAGATTAAGTCAGCCTTCTTCCCTGAAAGCGGATAAAAAAAAATCCTTCACAAAAATAAACCGCTGACCAAACGACTAAGTAAGAAAGGATTAAACGGATCCAGGAAATCGAACCCAGTTCTCTCCAAATTGTATCATGGCTGATTCTTCATCCCCATATTCCATCACCACCATCAAACTCCAACCTCCACCACCTCCACTCAACTTCTACCTGCTCCTCCTTCTCGATCACCTCCATTTAACTTCCACCATCGCCACCTCCACCACCTCCACCAATTACAACCTGCTTCAAGTTTGTTAGTATACTTGTTAATCAGTAGAATACATTCCAGTGATGTAATTTGATAATGTGGCTTATTCCGAATGATTAATGGAAACTTCCCAGATATCCAACCTAGATCAAGGTTAAGACCTTCTTCCACTCATATCAGATAGGTACAATCCATCACACAAAAATTAACCATTGGTCAGGTGGATAATTCAGTGTGAAAAGATTTCTGATTCAAGATGAAATCGAGTCAAAAGCCTTTCTCCAAATTGTCAAAAGAAGGGTAGGTTACACCAATTCATGATTTTTTTTGGCTGTTTTCTAGGGTTTCAATACACTAATGGATGGAAGTTGACTTGGATGGGATAGATTAGGAATTTGGTTTGTTGATAAGGGAGTAATAATATTGGAAAATTGGTTGGAAGGAGTTTGTGGTTTTTCCAATTTTCATTTCTGTGGCAGGTAACTTGCCGCCAAATAGATTTCATTTTCCTTCTTAATCGCGTTCACGCCAATAAAAGTTGATTGAACATTTCAAAGATACAACTGGTTGTTGGATTGAATGAGATTGCTGAATTGGGAAGATCTGCATACATGAACTGGTAGATATTTGTTTGTGCTAAAAGTAAAGAAGAAAAGAAGTTAATATTTTTTTTTTTTTGCAGCCTGATCGTCTAAAATATTAAATGCTGCAATTTTTCTATCAACAACACCAAAAACAAATCAAATAATCTAGACCACCAAATCTAACCATTATAATTAAAACCTAATGTGGTTAGAGATATTCTAGATTACAGAGGAAGAATATGTAACGAATGTTATAAAAGTATTAAAATTTATTAAATTAGATAATGAATATATGCAAGCCTAAGCGGACTTCATATTCTTGTAGAAAAGACAAACCCAAAAGTTTATACCCATTTGTATCCTTAAAATGGAAGAATATGAACAAAGAAGCTGTCAGTAGGATTGACAATCAAACCAAATTCTAGTGTTGTAGCATTTATTGTCCCAAATATTTTTGGTTCATTCTCTCAAAAACAAGCTAAAAAATTCCAATAATAAAGAGACAGGAACGGTGTGGGATGAGAAACGTTTGGTACTATAAATGTCTTAGTTGTGTGACTGTGTTTATTTAGTGTTTATAAAATGATAAGATTTTACGTTTTAAATTCAGAATAATGCAAAGGCTGTGCAGATCTAGTAGTATTCCAATCACTTCAATGCATCCTTGGAGAGTTTATAAAAAGCTATTTATTCATAAATATGAATTCTTTTTCCTGTCATGGTGTCGAGATCTTGACCAAAGATCAACAAATTGTTTAAACCCCGGAGTTTAAACCGTCTAAATCAAATTGTCCTCAGATCATCGGAAATAGCTTAACAAAGGCACCGGAAGTATAAGTTGCTACTATTAAAAATAGCTATACGCTCAAACGGAATACTTCTATAACGTTGCCGAGGCTAACAATTACCAACTAAGAATAATGTAGCGAGCGGCTATGCAGCACCTTCTCTTTATGAAAAAAAAAAGTCCGTTCCGTTGATCCTTTAAAAACAATTATCTCCTTCCATCCTTGACAATCCTTATATTTAATCTTGTGAAAAAATGAAGAATCAAAACGAAATTGTGGGGTGTGTTTTCGGAGAAGTGGGAAAAAATCAAATTTGAGTCATTCAGATTGACGCAGAAAAACTTGAATCCGTTATCGGCTAAATGTATTAAAAATGACTCAATTGCGCTAAGAAACTTGCTAGATATGTTATAGATCAAATTGAGATCTATACGAATTTGTAATTTAATTGTAAACAATACCCTAACATAATTACAACTTTGTGTAGCTTAATCGTACTTATTTGTTAGGGGGGAGTGATTCAAATTGCATAAAATCACGTGGACGAACGGATTAAGTTTGTAGAAAATCTTGATTCATTATCAGATAGATTCAGAAACACGACAGAGAGAACGAACGCATCCGTTCCCCTCCACCCAGCCATACATATATTACTGGAAAAATTCTAAAGGTCTTGCGAAGGAAGATGGCGGTTCTGTCGTAAGGGTCTTGCAAAATGGATGTTTTTTTTTTCGGTGTTAACTATGAAGAGGACAGAAAAAAATAATAAAACGGTTTTCTTCGAATTCTCTTCCCCACCGAGAAATTTTTTCAGATCGCAAAGAACGATAGGAGACTGGAGAATCAAATTTTTTTTTGTTGGAATTCTGATTTCCGGTACGGTCAAAACCTTCAATTCGCACAGGAAATTGATAAGGAAGGTAAACCCAATTCTATTGGGTGATGATTATATGTTGTCATTGCACACATACATAACCTTGTGTCAATTGTCAACCCTAAGAAAGCAATTCTACTACGTTACATTCAGTTAGAATGCAAATCTCTAGGAACTGACTCATATCAAGAAGTAGAACGGACTGACTATTTCCGGAACGGGCTTACTAACCGAAGGTCCCTTTTTATTTTAATAATTACTAACGATTACATCAGTATTTATAATTGTATTAGGTTGAAATATTCAAATCAGAAATATGATTACATAATGGATGAAGCTCTTACAAGTTAGCTGACTTTAAAAGTACAGTTGCAACCCCGAAAATCTCACCACATAGATTGTCTCTCTTTTACCTTTCACTTTTAACAAATTTTAAAATTTTAAAACAAGGAAATACAAAAATTCAAAAATTCAAAATCCAAAAAAATAATAACTTTTTTTTTTGTGATTATAAATAAATTGCCATTTCCTTTGATCAACTTTAATTTAATTTAGAAAACTTGAATTTTCTTCTTCTTTTTCTTCCTTTTCTTTCTTTCTTAATCATCTTGTCAATTACACATATCCCAATTACTTGTCAATTGAATACAATTAATTTTGTTTCTGGTCAATTTAGTCTTTACAAATTATAAGAAAAAAAGAATCCCTTAATTTTTTGAAATATTTTTCAATTGAATTTTTTTTTTTTCTACTCCCATCAAATCGTTATCCATCCAACCCCCTCCTTTATTCTTTGGTATTACGTTGTATAAAACCCATCACACATTCACACATTCACACGCACATTAAAGAATCTCCATTTTTTTTTGTTCAAGTTTCACATTTTTAATTTTTAACTCAATTTCACATTTTATTACTCACCCAATTGAGTACATTTATAGAATTCAATATTAAACTATGCCTGTTGATGCCTTTGGTGATTACACCACAATTGTTGTATTTGGTGCTTCTGGTGATTTAGCCAAGAAAAAGACTTTCCCAGCCTTATTTGGATTATATCGTGAAGGTCATTTACCTAAAACTATTCAAATTATTGGATATGCTAGATCAAAACTTACAGATGAAGATTTCAAATCAAGAATATCTCAACATTTCAAAGGAGGAAATGATCAAATTAAACAAGAATTCTTAAATTTATGTACTTATATCAGTGATCCATATGATACAGATGAAGGTTATAACAAATTAAGACAAGCTTGTGAAGATTATGAATCTAAACATAAAGTATCGGTTCCTAATAGATTATTTTATTTAGCCCTTCCACCATCAGTATTCACAATTGTTTGTAAACAATTGAAGAAATTGGTATATTCTCAAAAAACAAGGATTATTGTTGAAAAGCCATTTGGTCATGATTTGGCTTCTGCTCGTGAATTACAAAAAGATTTAGCTCCATTATTTACCGAAGATGAACTTTATAGAATTGATCATTATTTAGGTAAAGAAATGGTTAAAAATTTATTAGTTGTTAGATTCGGTAATACATTATTTGGAGGTGTTTGGAATCGTAATAATATTTCTTCGGTTCATATCTCATTTAAAGAAGCTTTTGGTACTGAAGGTCGTGGAGGATATTTCGATTCAATTGGTATTGTTAGAGATGTCATGCAAAATCATTTATTACAAGTTTTAACATTATTAACTATGGAAAGACCAGTTTCTTTTGATCCTGAAGCTGTTAGAGATGAAAAAGTTAAAGTCTTGAAAGCTATGGCTCCAATTGATACCGAAGATTTATTATTGGGTCAATATGTTAAATCTGAAGATGGTACTAAACCAGGTTATTTAGATGACGATACCGTTAAACCAGACTCCAAATGTGTTACTTATGCTGCTATTAAGTGTGAAATTCATAATGAAAGATGGGAAGGTGTGCCAATCATTATGAGAGCTGGTAAAGCCCTTCAAGAATCCAAGGTTGAAATCAGAATTCAATTTAAACCAGTTGCAAGAGGAATGTTTAAAGAAATCTCAAGAAATGAACTTGTATTAAGAATCCAACCAAATGAAGCTATTTATCTTAAAGTAAACAATAAGATTCCTGGTATTTCAACTGAAACTTCATTAACTGATTTAGACTTGAATTATTCCACTCGTTATTCTAAGGATTTCTGGATTCCTGAAGCATATGAAGCATTAATTAGAGATTGTTACTTGGGTAATCATTCTAATTTCGTTAGAGATGATGAATTGGATGAATCTTGGAAATTATTTACTCCATTATTAGAACATATTGAAAATCCAAATAGTAATATTAATTTAGTTAAATATCCTTATGGTGCTAAGAATCCAAAGGGATTACGTGCTTATTTGGAAAGACATAATTATGTCTTTGATGAACCAGGTAGCTATCAATGGCCAATGATTAACACGAATGTTAAAGGTAAGATCTAGATGAGAGTTATTCATGTTTGTTTTATAATATATAGTATACAATAGTTTTGTCAGTTTTCTTTGCTCTTTCTTGTCACGAAAATAAAAATAATGGTTAATCAAAAACTAAGGTTTATAATCGGGCTTGACTCGTAACCATAAATCGTACCTTGAGTTATTGCTTTCTATTGGATAGAGATAGGATTCTGCGGGACGGGAGATAAGATTAATCGAAAACCCTTTAGGTCACACAACAGGGTTTGTAAATCTATTTAATCAGAGTTGCGTTACTAACTTTGAAGATGCATGGTAAACAAGTAATAACTAGGCTAGACTCTCATAACTCGTCCAAGAATGATTTATAGGTAGTGTATATCTAAGAAGCTCGTAATACTCTCTATTAAGAAGTAGGTCTGCTGTTTAAATGCAGTTCCAACGATGTTTTTGAAAACGTGTTTAGGGCTCTTTCAGAAAACCAATGCTGCAATTTTTTCTTTCGCTCTAGCAAAAAGCGGTTCCAGAATATTCTTCTGAGGGAAAAAAAATAAAGCCCTTGAATCCGGGTAATCTACCTCATCTCCAACTCAATTTTTCAGTCTATAAATTAACCGTGCGAAAATTTTTTATTTCATCCTTATTTATCACTCTCTTTCTTTCTTCATCAACCCATTTCCAAACAACCATCAAAATAAGGGAACAATCATTTAGTTAAATTCATCTATGGGATTGTCCCAAATAGATGGATTCCTACAAAATGTTGTTTCCCTTCAACAGATATACATACATTACCTTCCATACTTTTGAAAACCTCCAAACTCAGGAATTAATCCAAAAAAAAAATGAATATGATGAAAATAAGTCTACTTCTTTCCCAGTCTGACTCGACTATGATCGACAGGGTTGAAAATCGTCTTATTTACCGTATAAGAGAAATCATTTGGTTTCTTGGTAGTTTAGGACTTATACTTGCCAGTATTTAACGTTTCTGATTCATTATTTTTTTAAAAGATTTTTCCTTGAAGGAGCTTTACAAAGTATATGAGAAAAGGTGGGTATATTACTAATGATTACATTGTCATATTTGATGATGATTAATGTAATCCTCATTATTTCAAACCATCACATATCCATATTGAGAAATGAAGTAGCTAGATTCATAATATTGTGCTTGTTTTTCTTATTTTGTTTTATATGATGATAATTACCATAAACATTCGCAGTTTCCTCGGTAGCATACGACTTAGAACCCATCTAATGTATGTTCAGTGACCGCAGTAATGACCTTCCATGGATGTCTGATTAAAACAAAAGAANAATGTATGTTCAGTGACCGCAGTAATGACCTTCCATGGATGTCTGATTAAAACAAAAGAAGAATAACAAGCAGAATTTTTGAATCTAGTGATCTTCGGAATTATGGTTTTGTGATGTAAGAAATGGTGAGCTTCTGATAGTATATAGCATCGACAATTATTTGAATGTTGGACGTTCTGTTGTTGAATTAATGTAAATAAAACAGAATGTGAAGTGTTCAAATTGCTATCGATTCTATATGAAGTCTGTAATTAAGATGCAGTTTCTTATTTAATTAATGCGAAGTTGTAAGATATTGCTTTCTTGTTTTTACTTTCACGTAGTGAGAGATCCGTATATCTAGGAGTATTTGATGTTGGTATTCTTTAATGATGCATTTATGGGTTAGCTAAGCTTCCAAAATATTAGTTAATAACATGGAAAGTAGCCAATAATATCCATTAAGACCTACGCATCTCTCTCTCTGTCTAACTACATACGATACTTCAATACATCTTGATCAAAAAAGTGCCAAGAAAAAAGCCTTTGCCTTAGAATAGAAATTTCAGGTTCTCTGACTCCAGGAAATGCAGCCATCTGCTTGAGACGATTCATCCTAATTGACGAATCTTTTTAAAAAAACCCAAAGGAAATCAGATCAAGCACACTTTCTACTTCTCTCTTAGTAATTTAGACTAACAGTATAGATCAACATTTAAACTGCAAGTGTGCTATTTTGCAACCAATAAACAAGCGGAATATAAACAAGATAGAGGCACAGACAGAGAGATGGGGTTTTCAATTTCAAACGTTATACGAGATCCATTTGCCAGCTTAACAATCCTACTTGGTCTAGTAGCAAGTATAATTTCCTTCTGTGGAGCATATACTGCAAATCCAGCACTACTCTCCGATTCCACCTGGTTGGTTCTATTCTATGAAATCATAACAATTATAATTATATTTATAATTTATTGTTTGGATTCAATCGAATTATATAAATTCTTTTTAGTTGGGATTGTTTCAATTGGCGTGGGATATTTGATAAGTTCAATTAATTATTTGATTAATGTTGATCCAACAACGATACCTTTGTTGATTTGTGGGAGTGGGAATATTGTATCATTGGTGATGTTTTTAATTTGGTTGTTGTATTTTGGAGGAGATGGTGGATCTCCAATTAATCAATTCATCGATGCATTGAAATTTGATACTCAAGATAGTGAACAATCATCATCGTTATTATTGGGATATGGTGCTACTGATAATGATGAATCAGACGACAAAGATCCAATGCACCAATGTCCTTATGAAAAACAACCAGTTTAGAAGAATCCGCAATACAATACTTTCTACTATAATTATGCATTTACTGATTAATATATAAACACACATTCTATAAACTAAAAAGAACAAATTATTTAAACCAAAAAATAAACCTTTTCCACCTGGGTATATATCTCTCTTTTTATTTATCTAGCAGCAGCTGGTTTTCTCAACCTTCTCAAATCCTGTAAATTCTTCTTGGTAATTGATTTATCATCCCCATCCCTTGTCAGACCCGTCGGCAATCTATCTATCCCAAATCCAACCCCACCCGGTGTTATCGCAGCCCCAGGTCCACCTTTCTTAATCAATTTCCCCCTCCTGGAAGAAAATGATGGTGGAGCAGTTGGAACAACCGAATATTTCCTCTGTCTAAATTGAATCCCCACTTCTTGTACATTCTTCTGATGTTCTGGCTCGGCCTTAACGAACCAATCTAAATGTTCATCATATTCATACATGGTATAATCAGTTCCATAAGGTTTCAGTTCCAAACAATATAAAGTATGTAAAGGAACATCCAATTCTCCAATTGAACTCTTATCCAAATTTAAAAAATATGCTAATAAGATTCTTAATACTACTCGATGACTAATGATTAATAAATGATCAGTAGTTCTTTCTATTTCAGTTATGACGGGTCTAACACGATTAAGAACATCGAGATATGATTCTCCACCAATTCCAGGATATCGATAGGTTAATTTATCTCTTATTCTTGCTTCGAATTCTTTGGGGTGTTGTTGTTGGATTTCGTCATATGTCATACCTTCATATTTCCCTCCACCTAATTCATTCAACATTCTCATTTGTTTGACGGAATAGAGTTGATCGTTGAAATATTGTCCCGTTTCGATGGATCTAATCAACATGGACGTCCATACGCAGAAATTCGGTTCTGTGGGGATATTATCCAAGGTGGCGACATCATCTTCGTTGAAGATGGAATTGTATTTAAGTTCTAATCGAGATGAAAATCTTTCCAATTGCATCTTCCGGAATTCTTGTCTCTGGAAATTCATAAATCGAGCTAATGTTTTCGAGAATTTAATACCACGTTTGGTTAAATGAGAATCACCCCCAATTCTACCACTTACATTATCCTTAGATTCTCCATGTCTTGTTATCCAAATCTGTCTCTCACATAAATTGAAATTCAATAAGAAATAAACAGTTTGAGAACTTAAAAACCCTTTAATATTATAACTAACAATCTTCTTCCCCACATCAATAATCTTCACATATTGGAAACCGGGTCCCATTGATTTTTCTTCAGCATCATCAATAGTTTCATAGGCTTTTTCATAATTATGTAATCTCCCGACGAAATCAGCCAATGCAACAGCTGGATCCATTTCTTTATAATCAGGTCCCAGTAATTTTAATCGAATATTTGATTCTAAAATATTTGGATCATTACAAATACTTTCCAAAAACAATACTTTCAATTCTCCCCCAGACCGTTCATTAATCCGATTCAATACTCTTCTTCTTCGAGATTTCGTAGAATTGGTGGCATCGAATATCCCCACACTCCCGGGTCCATCAATTATATAATCCAATAATTGGTCCAATGTGTCCATGGCCCATTTTTCACGAATGGCGGTGTTTGCTTTATTATCCGGCGAGAAAAATGCCGCATCGTGTTCTTCTCCATGTTCTGTCTCCTCCTCATGGTGTTCGGGATTCGGAGAACGGGCACCAGTGGGTGTATGATCAGGAAGTGGTTTCTTTTCCGGCCCAACATTGTGTTGTTTATCTTTTCTTCTCGTGTTTCCGACATTAAATACTCGACAATCATGTTGTAACCAATTTAAATATCTAGTTAATTTATTAGTGATATATGATTTCCCTCGAGCGGGAAGACCAACCATTACAATCACCAATTTTGACCCTACATCAACTCGAGCGATTTTCCCATCAGGTGAGATTTTGGAAGATGTTTGTCCTGGGATATTGAGGGTGTATGCTTTTCTGGCTGATGGGGGTGGTTTTGTCATTAATAAATTCTTTAATTTTTCTATACTTGGAGTTTTCTCAAATTGTTCTTTAATATCATCAGGAACATCTTTAAGTAATGATTTCTTGATTTCTGGTTTCATGGTGATCTGTTGTCCGGATGATTTTTTAACTTGTTGTTGATCAAGATTAGGGGTTGATGTCATTGGACTTATTGAATCAGATTTTGAAATTGGGTAGATTCTTGGTTGGGATAAATCGGGATGCTTGAGGAATGTGCTGGCGGTGTTTACCATTCCTGGAGCTGATGGTTCAACCGAAACAGGTTCAGTTGCACGTGGTGGTGAAAGTGGCGTCATTTCAAGTCGTTTTGCCATATCACTTAAATTCAAATCAGATATATTTCTTGTTTTCTTTAATGGATGATGAGCATGATGTTCTTCTTCTTCGGCAATGGTGGTTGTAGTAGTTGTTTGATTTTTTTCACTTTCATAATCTTCTTCACTTGATTGATATCTGGTTATAGGTGAACCCATTGATGATACAATTGGGGTATCAGTCAATGGACGTTTATTGAATTCCGGTAACATCAAACTATTAACACTACTATTTGAATCAACTTGTTCTAATAATTGAGAATCCAAACTTTTACTAATTGATAATCTTTCACCTCCATATGAACTAAATTTATTTAATTTTGATTTGCTTCTATTGTTACAACTATTCTTTAAATTACTTGATCCAATTACACCTGAATAACTGACTGTTGGAGATAAACTTGCTGGTGAAGGAGTTACACTCGTAGTGAAATTAGCTCTTCTAAAAGGTGCTTTTAAAGTTTGATTATGGATTGTATTTGCTTGAGTTTCTTCATCTTCATCTTCATTATCATTATCAGATGAATTTTCTGAAGTTTCTGTACTACTACTTGAAGTAAACACTTGTGATGAATTATCGGAATGAAGATTTGAAAATGATACTTTTTTAGCGGGTGATGTTGTTTTAGAATGGGCTAAGACAGCAATACTAATTGAATGTGATTTCTTATGACTGTGGGTGGTGGTGGCTGGAGAAGTAGTATTATTAGGTGGTGTATCCGGTTGGTCATTATTTGAAAGATGACTATGGGAGTGATGACTATGATGAGTAGCAAGTTGATTATGTAATGGAGACAGTGAAGAAGGTATTGGAGGATGTTGAGAAGCAAAATTAGCAGCTATTAATTTACGTATACTTTCATTTGTCGTTGGATTATGTAATGGGGATGAAGATGTTGATGAATCAGTTGAAGATGAGCTTGATGGAGTATTGGTTGTAAAAAATAATGAATCTACTGATTCTGGAACCAGTTGTTTCAGTTGTTCTTCTTCTTGTTGTTGGACTACCTCATCTTGTTCTTGTTGTTGTTCTTGTTGAGACGTGGACATCTATAAGCTGTTGATACTGATGATGATATGGTTTATTCAAATCTATTAAAGTTTCTTCTTAAGGAAAGTAAAAAAAGTTGTAAAAAGCAAAATAAAAAAAAAACTTTTCGTTTGAAAAAAAAAAGAATTTTAATTTAATTAATTTGTGATTATTAAATAGAATTCTTCTATTTGATTAACTTGGAACGACAGTAATTTTGTGATTAGCAAAAAAAAGAAAGAAGTCCGATTAATTTATTGACTTTACAACCAACCTAAGCATATGAATGTGTCAATAGATCTCGTATACCGCGTCTCTTGTTGGTGGCTATGACGTGTGTTAGTCATAGAAGAACAATAGATAAGTCCCACCCCCCATAACGAAGTGGAGTAAATAGTTTAAAAAACATATTCCCTATTCATTAAATTAATTTGTTGAGTTTCCTGTATACAACAAAAACTCCGAGATAACACAATCACAATAGAAAAAAAAACCTCATCCCCTCTTCTTCTTCTTACTACTGGGTGCAATATTACTAACCAAAAAAAAAAGATTCTCTTCGGGAGCCACAAGTCCCGGACGTGTTTTGTGTCATAAAAAAGACTCATAAATGGAACTCGACTTCCTTGGATAATCCGAGTTACTTATTACTCCGTTCTCCCCGGCTTACTATTACTACTACTTTGAATGACTAATAAAAGCTAGTTGATACTAGTAAAAGTATCCACATGTCATTTTTAAAATCTTATCAGCATCAAATCTAACTTTCTTCAAGACAACAGCCGAAAGATAAACAATCCAAGAAATATACTTTGCTTTATCTGATGACATAATATGCCAAGTAAACTATTCACTCATCGATTTATGGATTATTACCCGGAATAGGAAGTATAGATAAATACACACGTTTCTTGAAGTTCTTGTTCTTGTTCTTCGTAATAAAAATAATTAATCCCCCGAGACTTCCCAGGACGACCATTGATTGATAATTGGACTGGACTGAGTCAGATAATGATAGTTTTCATCGCTTAGAAAATTTTCGGAATGACGGATAAGTTTTTTTAATTTACTCCCCTCTTTCTTACAATTTTGTATTTTGTCCGAGAATTAATAACAACCACAATTTTTATACGAAAAATTATATGGATTACCCGGAATATTTATTTGAATCAAACAATACAAAAGACAACATGATTGAGTTTTTTAGAGAAATATAATTTAAATCCAATTCGGGAAAAGCGCATCTATCTTCGGAAATGATTCCTTTAATAGGCTTAGTAATTACCTATTATTTTTTCAATCTACATACAAATTGACTGAATGGCAGCAATTATTGAGAGATAATGATCAGACTGGGATTACAGATACAGAGATATAGAGTAGAGCAATAGAATGATAGAGAACAATGACAATTCATTTGAAATAAAATGACCATTTTTCAAAAAAGAGATATGCGTGGCTATCGATTACAGATGTATATACATTGACGTGCATATACACACGCTTGGTATACATTGAAAATGAAATTATTACTCTGCCACATTTGTGCAGAGCATTACACATATCAAGATATGTAGACTGCCTCTCGTAATCAATTTATTTTCCCGAAGGATCCAAGGTCAATATTTTTTTTATTTGACTTGGTTTGGTAGGCTGCTGCAGCCTTGGAATATATAGATATTTGCTATTTTTAAATTCCCTTTCGTAACATTATACTTGGCAGGTCTCACGGAAAGGAAAATAAGATTGTATTCGTTTCCAGCAACAGCTATGTCAAAAATAGAAATCTCTGTTTCATATTCGAGAACCCTGTCAGATCTTTTTCTTTTTTTCGTTTGCTGTCTGTTTATCTCTCTTCATATTTTTCTCGGTGCTGTCTGTTTTTTTTCTTAATTGCAAAGAAAATATCTTAAGGCGATAAATCTATCTAAAAATCTGAAAAAGTGTTCCGCCCACCACACACACACACACAGGAAAAAAATCGATTCCAGCGAAAGGCCGGGCTATTTGATATTGGGGAGAAAAAAAAAGGTTCTAGAAACGAATAGTTTAGATCAAAAACTATTTTTCGTAACTATATGACTTCTAATATGTGTTAAAGATCTGATGGTTATGTAAATTTAAACAAACAAAACTATCTCATTCTCCTCTTAATACCAATAATCATTTATAAATTCCCTCTTTTTGTTCTCTCTTTAATGATTTATCACATGTATAGTGGGGAGGGACAATTCTAAGTGTACTCACGTGATCGAGGTATTTTAAATTTTTATTTTTAATCAATTCATTCAAATTTCAAATTGAGTTTTTTATAAATAAATAAATATTATAAAACAATTTCCTCGAGAAATTTATTTTTCAATCGAAATATAAAAATTTTTAAATCTAGATTTAATTAAAATTGATTGTTATATATATTTAGATTGCAGTAATTAATAGTTATGTGTGTGTATATATGAGGTGGACTTGAGCGTGAGAATGGTTACATTACATTACATATGTACATATCATACGTATTTTTTTTTTCTTCTTCATACTGTATTTATGATGATGCAATTATACTTTTAATGAATGATACATATACACAATAGAAAAACCCCAAGCCAGAAGAAAGAACAAAAAAGACCGAGCCACGGAATTAACAAATAAAATAACCACAAAATCGGGAATTGGGGCTTGCTCTATTCTTTTTGGAAAAAGTGTGGAGTAATCAATACAATAGAAAAGAAGAAGAAGAACAAGTACAACAAGAGAGGATAATTACTACAATGTGTAAATGTCAAAAACAAAAAGACACATTAATTACAAAGAGAGTCAAAGAAAGAGATTTTTCGGAAATATTATTCACTTGCAGATTTACACTTTTTCTTAGGTAGTGTATTTATCAAGAATATTTGAAAAATGTGTTAAAAACAATAAAAAAAATATTAAAACTTTCTTTCTATAAAAAACTGTACAGCAAAAAAAAAAAAACACCCCATATTTTCAATTTATTAATTATTTTTAGTATTTGAATTTACAGTATACGCTTTTACAGGTTAAGGGCTCAATCTTAAAAATGAGGTAATTAATAATTAACTCAACATGATCATCGTAAGTATGAGCCATTGCGTCACTCATAGTCTGAGTAATAAAGTGTTTAATGAACTCTTTTGACATTTTCGTAAAATAAGATTTTTTTTTTTTTTTTCTAAATTTAATTTAATTTATTTTTAATATTTGAATTATTTTTAACTTTAAAATTTATTCTCTCTTTATATTTAATTATTTTTCTTATATTCATTTTGTTAATTATTAAATTTTATAATTTAATTTTTTCTTTTTTACAATTTTTTTTTTCAGTTTTTGTTATATATATTAAATTGCTTATTTATCACTACAACAACCACAACTACAACTACAACTAACTTACTTACTTACTATTACCATTTTACTACTATCATTTTACACGACCTATCCATTGAACCTCTTCTTATCATTTAGTATACTACTACTACCACCACACTGCAGCCTACATCCAAACATACAGTATACATTCATACAACACATACATACACTTATTTTTAACCTTTTCCCCCAAACTTTACCTTCTCCTCTAATAACAACACCCATATATTCTTAATAGTACACATAACAACAGATATAACAAGTTAGACATACCCTCAATATGACACTGGATTATCAACCATTATTTGAGAATACAGCTACTATCACAAGTACACCTCCTACTACTAACAATAACTCCAATTATTATAATACTCCAGTCAATTCAGGATTCTCTTTTGATACCCAATACACTGAAAGTTTATTTGATAATCAACAACAACAACAACAATTGCATCAACAACAACAATCTATACAACAGTTACAACCAGCACCTGCTGCACCACCGCCTCAACAACAATTACAACAACAACAACAACAGCAACAACAACCTGAATCTATACAATTAAATGATGAAATATTCTTTACCTTGTTAGACCAAAATCAACTGCAACAACAACAATTACAACAACAATTACAACAATCAATTGGACAGTCTATTGATTATTCTCAAGTTCAAATGCAACCACAACAACAACCACAATCTAGTATGAAAGTAGACACGTCAACTAGTTCTAAAACATTAAGTAATATGTCTTCATCAAATTCATTATCAAATTATTTCACCACTCCAAATACATCAGCATCTTCATCTTCTTCCCTGTCATTTTCTTCTTCATCATCCAATATCAATGTAACAACCCCCAAAGTATCTTCAACTCCATATTTCGCCAGACAAGCAAGACAAAATTCAACTTCAATTCCAATTGATCAATTAACTTTATTATCATTACGTACTCCAAGCACAAGTAGTAATTCCACATCTATTCAACCACAAGCACAACAGCAACAGCAACAACAGCAACAGCAGGCTGTTGCGCTTCAATCAATCTCACAACCAAATTTTGAAGATGCAGTCGCATCTCCCGATTTGGTAGATGTTGTAAATAGTCTTGATCCCAATTCAGTTGCTGCTGCCGCTGCAGCTGCTGAAGCTACAATTGCTGCTATGTCACCACTTCAATATGAAGAACCAACAATCAATCCAAAACAACTCTTTACAGATAATAAACTTAATACTTCTATAAGTTCACCAAGTTTATCTACATTGTTTATGAATACCAATTATCAATTACCTACTCAATTACCACCATCTAATTCAAATAATGCTGGTTCCACCTTGGTATCACCTTTACAATCATCGCCACCCCAATTCCAACCACAACAACAATCTCAACAATTGGTGTCACCACAAATGACTCAATTTCCTCAAAATACTCTCCCACCTCAAAAATTCTTACCCCAACATTCAAGATCAATCCTGACACCACATTTTGATTTCGGATTAATCTCCCCTGATCATGACCTATCCCCCTTGATTTCAAATTGGATGAATAATAATCCATCATCAACCACATCCACATCCACATCGGAATTCGTCACCAGTCCAAGAAGTTCAGGATTTAATACTTCTTCAACCGCAACTACTCCAATAATATCTGGCACCGGTACGACTAAGAAACATAGCAGATCATATAGTGTGAATGTGAATCATTCTCAACACGCTCAGCAACATCATCTCCCACATCATCATCATCTGATGATAAACCTAAAAGGTATCAATCGGAGAAATTCCGCCGGAGCGGCACTTCAACAAGCTGCTGTGGCTTCACAACTGGTTACGCAATTGCAAGCGTATGGATTAGGGATAGTTATGGATGAGAATAATAATGACAATGAAAGTAGTATTGGGGTGAATGGAGTGAAGAATAAGAGAAGGAAGAGTCAAGGAAATGTGTTGGAATTGGGAACATCGTTGCAATCGGGGCAGATATCGCCTACTAATACGAGTAATGGAGGAGCAGAAGTCCAACCAGATGGGAAGAGCAGTAATGGAGAAAGCGCTCCTACTGCCAGCACCACCACATCCAACGGTAAGAAATCATCGACTTCATCGAGTTCAAGCAGTGGTAGTAGTGGAGCAAATAGCAATTCAAATGGTTCATTCCCATGTGCAGAATGTGACAAACAATTCAAACGATCAGAACATTTGAAAAGACATATTAGATCAGTACATTCGAATATTAGGCCTTTTCATTGTAAATATTGTGAAAAGAAGTTTTCGAGACTGGATAATTTGGCTCAGCATTTAAAGACTCATTATCGGGTTGATAGTGAGGGCAATGCTTGTGTGGTTTTGAATCCTGCTGGGATGAAGATGAAGAAAGGGAAGAAGCTGGCCGGAGGAGCGAATGCGACGGTGAATGCTACGACAAGTGGGATTATACGATCGGAATAGGTCATTGCTTTACTTAACAGATGTAGGTGACTGGTGTTGGGAGTTGGATTTTTTTTTGGATTTTTTATGTTATTGATTAACCCTTTTATTTGATATTTTTAAGTTTATTGTTGTTTTTTCAGTTATTTGTTTTATGTGCTTTTTTTATGTTACTACATTGGGGGTGTTTATATATATTATTATTATTGTTTTAGTGTTTAGTTTTTTGTTATTATTATTATTATTACTACTTAGTAAATACGATATTTTTAAGTTTATTGCGTTTAGAAATGTTTCTGATTATCTGAAATTGTAGATTATGCATAGATTGCAGGAGACTCCCGAAGTCCATCTATATGCCTCGGCCGTACCTTTTTTGAATCCCGAAGTCAGAGACACAGAGAACGATATATGAAAACTGTCAATCCACATGGAATTGTTACTAAGATTCTACATAATAAGTACAGCATTAAGTTAATGTTCACTTCTTCTTCAAAGATTCTCGCCATTCTTTAAATTCCCTAGTCAATATTTCTCCATTTCTTAATCTCTTATTATCTTCCCCCGGTAATTCCATTAATGAAAAAGTTCTACTGCCTGGATCATAGCTCAATCTATAACTCTTACTTTCATCCTTCTTATCCACATTCTCAACAATCCAATCCAATACAGCCCCATACCATTTCAAAGCATTTGTACAATTAATCTTATTCTTATTATTCTGAGTAATTGGATTATCCTTAATCATAATCGGAATCTCATCGGTATTGTATGGTTCCACACTTCTTAAAATAAAATTATCATCCCGGAATCCATAAACCACTTTCCTAACCCCCATTAAGAAACTTTGACACCATGTCTTAAATAATTTCTTTTCAAAATTGACAACTTGTCCATTATGTTCAATAATCCGACTAGTTTTTAATTCTACATAATGATCAAGTACAGTTTTGGTTTTTTCGGGAATATAATCCCAAACACAATCAATTTCCCCCGCGAGGATTAATTTAACATTCCCAATCCCGGTTTTGATGACTGATAGGTATTGTTCATAATTATTAACAATTTTTTTATTTCGATTATCAATCTGGGGTCTAGGGGTTTGGGCCCAGGGGTGAGGAATAGTAGCTAAGGTTTCGAATTTATATCCCGAGAATTCACATTTCTTGATATGTTCAACCTTATCTGGAGGGTTATTGTTGATTAATTCTTCTTCTTGTCTTTTCATTCGATTTAATTCGATTATTTTATCTTGGGCAATGAATAATTGTCCATCGAAGGGAACTATGTTTAAATCAATCGGGTCGGTAAGAAAATAGGGCATGGAGATGATCTTGGTCATAATCCCTCGGAATGTAATTATATCCCCATCGAGCTTCTTTTGGGTGGATTGTTCATGATGTTGAATTCCTTGAAGAAGTTTATCGAAATCAGCAAGATTTAATTCGGGGTCGATTTTTTTGAAATGGGAATATCCGGCGGATAGGTCGAGTTTGGCTTGTTTATAATCAATATCAGCATTTGCAAGGTAATAGTAGGGGATATGTTCTTGTTTGACTTTTGTTTCGTCAAATATGTATTCATTATCGATGTCACGAGCATAGACGAATATTTCACGTGGTTGTTTGAGAGCAGTTGTTTTGGCTCTAGCGGTCAATGGAAGGGTTTTCATCATGGTGGTGGTGCTTGATAGTGTCTGACAACAACTGCCCTTCCCCCATCGCAAACAGTGATTTATATAAATTTCAATTTTTATGTTCCACACACGACTAACAAATTTAACTCACCCAAAAAATTTCATCAAATTTTTTTCAATCAGAATCCACCAAAATTCAATTAGATTACAAGGCATATATCCCAACATGTCCACTAAAGCAGCATTAGTCAAATTAATAGTTGGTGCCGGAAAGGCAGCCCCAGCACCACCAGTTGGTCCAGCCTTAGGTTCCAAAGGTGTGAAAGCCATCGATTTCTGTAAAGAATTCAACGCCCGTACTGCCCATTATATCCCCGACACCCCAATCCCGGTACAAATTAGAGTTAAACCAGATAGAACCTTCACATTTGAGATGAAATCTCCACCAACTACTTGGTTATTGAAAAAAGCCGCCGGTGTGACTATGGGAAGTGGGAAACCAACAAAGGAGATTGTGGGTGAGATTAGTTTGAAACATGTTTATGAGATTGCTAAGATTAAGAAAACTGATGATAGACATAAGAATACGGAATTGCAGGCTATTGTGGGTAGTGTGATTGGGACTGCTAGACTTATGGGTATTAATGTTGTTCCATAGAGATAAATGGTGTAGGTTTGATTTCTTGTATATATATTTCATAGGTTTATTAATGCATTTTTTAAAATTAGATGATTGGCTGAAGCGCTGGAAGTGTACCGCTTAAAGATTCTTGTATGTATTGGATACTATATTCTACAAGAACTAAAAGAACGAGACTACAAAAGCGGTTTACAATGTCTCTCATGTGATATAATAATCTATCAATATTTTCAACAAAATAACTAAACAAAAAGAACTAAATACCCACACAAAATATACCCTCTTCCTTTCCTTTTCACGCCACTCTACTTCTTCTTAGTCTTATCAAAAGCAGCAATATGAGCCATAGATTGGTCCACTTGAGTATGCTCATGATCAGAACAATTCATAACATGACAGGTCACATTTCCGGACCCAGTTTCAATTCGTTGATCAACAGTACACATATTTACACTATTCAACCAATCATCCTGCATAATTTCGTCAATAGTGATACGACAAGCAGGTGCCAATTCAAGCATTCTTCCAATCAAGCCACGGCAATCTTCAGGTAATGCTAATAAAAGACGATCAGGACCTACTTCAGTGGAAGTTTGGTCTTTGGGTTGATCACCTCCAGTAGCACCATTAGCACCGGCAGCATGAGCGGCACTTGCATCCACTTCTTCGAGTGCTTCTGAAATATCACCAAGACTACTTAACCCTCCACCGGAACTATTAGTAGATGATTCAGTAAGATGATCTTGTGGAGTTCGTTTCAAAAGTTCAACAAGTGGTGTAATTACCAGATCTGGTCTAGCAGCGAATAATTTAAAACTTGGATCGGATAATTTGGGTACTTTCCAAGGGAATTTTTTCAATATCATACAACAAAAAATAATTGCCACTGACCAAACATCAACTGGTCTTGGATCATATTTGTTAAACACACAAACTTCAGGGGCAAGATATGGATCAGATCCGACAATACCTTGAGCTTCAATTAATGTTTTGGTGAATGGGTATGAAAATACAACTGCGGAACCAAAATCAATGATTCTTACAATACCTCGATTATCAATCACACAATTATCTAATTTTAAATCACGATGAGCTAAACCAATAGAATGTAAATAATGAACCCCGGATAAAACTTGTTTAAAACAACAATTAATTTCTTCTCGACTCATCTTGTTTGACATTACAATTGCAAATAAATCATAATCACAATATTCCATAACTTGCAAAATCCGTTCATTTTCATAACAAATTTCAACAGTTTCAATAATATTTGGATGCTTTAAGGTTGATCCAATACAATATTCACCGGTGATCTTTTTGGCATAATCACGTTTGGATTCATTAGGATATTTAGCTCTAAATTCTTTAACTGCAAACACTTTCTTATCTGAAAGTCGACTAACTAATTTCACCGCACCACCAGCACCAGCACCTAAACTTTCACCAAACTTACTATATCTCTTTGAGAATGGGAGTTGTTGTGCTGGATTCATAACTGTCAGTATTGATTGTCTACGTTCTTGATAATTGATCTTATTCTGCAATGTGTTCGTACGTGTCATTGAACCGGGTCCGTTGTAAGTACCTGGAGATTGTGACATTGAATTATTGGATGAAGTAGTAGTAATGGATGTATTGGTATATGAATGCCCACCTTGAAATGATGAACTGACCGCAACAGGACTTGGAATTGTCATACTACCGGAATTCGATCTTAAGGAAGCGGATAAGTTTGAAGGTTGAACTTCACTTTTACTACTTGATCTTTTAAAGAATCGTTTCAAGTTCGACATTGAACCTTGTCTTGCTGGTGGAACGTTTGATACTGATTCGGATGATGAAACTGAAGATGGCGAAGTGCCCATCATTGTTGGAGCCTCTTGATATGAATTATTATAAAAATAACCTAAATCAGTAGTCGAATCTTTTCTTGGTGCTTTACTCTTCAGTGAGAAAAAGAGTGACAAAGATGATTGTGATCCTGATCTTTGTTGAGAACTGGATAATTGAGCAGCTTGTTGTTGTGCTTGAGCTTGTGCTACTCTTTGTTTTGAAATTATAAATCTTGGTTCTATCGCTGAAGAACTAACTTGTGGAGATTGAATATGAATTGATGAAATAGGTTGACCATTTGGTAAATTGGGAATATGTGCAGTTGATCCCAGTTCATTATTAGAATAAAGCGAACCTTCGCGATTCATTGCAGCGCCACCAGCAGGTGATGTGATACTAGTTCCATTATTGGCGCTTGCAGAACTTATACTTCCATTTTTATTCCCACCTGGTGCAGAGTATGGAATTGATGAATATAAACTTTCACCACCAATGTAAAAGCTTGAATGAGTGCTTGAGTTATTCTTTATAATTCTTGGACTTGAAGTTGATTTTACATCTTTATTTTGAAATAATTGGTTTTGTGAAAATGAGTTTGAATATTGCCTTGTATATGGTGAAGTAGGAGTCATAGATGAAATGGATGGAACTTCATCATGGGCACTGCCAATAGTAAAAGTACCATTGGAAGTGTCTTTCTTCATGGGGACCGCAATCGAGGTGGCGCTAGTAGAAGTAGTAGTTGCGTCGCCGGTTGATACAGCAGTGGTAGCTTTTTTGTTCAATTCTAAGGATAATCCTGAACTAGAAGCTTTTAAATTTTGTGATAGTATGCTATTATTGGCAGATGCTTTCTTATCCAAGGACACTTCGGATGCATTGTGCGAAATTGCAGGGGTAGAAGCTAAACTTGAAGTAGACGATTCCTGAATAAGTCTAGTTAATGAGGAGATCGTTTGTTGGTTGGTGTTTCCTGATGCTGGGCTGCAATCAAGGGAAGTTAAAGCGTCCTTGAAGCTAGCTGGGCTATCCGGGATATTTTGGATGTTTGTCATGGTGTATTTTTCCACTATACTCATTTAATTTTGGAATATAAAATAACTTGCGATCTTTTTTCTCAATGAAATAATGATTAAAGATCTGATAAATAATCAAATGAAACTGGTGGATCCCTTTGGACTTAAATTGAAATCTATTTCGGGGGTTCTTTGATGATTAGGGTGAAAAGAAAATGCTTAACGGGTTAATTCTTGTAGAAAGTGTCCGGTTTTTTTCTTGTTCGAAATTCTGAACCATTTCTTTTTTTTTTCCTTCCAACGAAAAATGGAAGATCGGAACAACAATAATTAATAGGAGATTTTATTTTTAATATCGGCAATAAAATTTTTAATGAAATTTAATTTGTTTAAGATAAATAAAATTTCAGATAAGCACGTGATCAACGGGATCAGATAGCCACAATTCAACCACTTTCATCATATTGTTCTACTATGAAAACAATATCCAAACCCTAGTAGAGATCTATAATCTTTGTAGTCGTAGGTCAATAGTCTAAATCTCATATGGCGTGTTAATTGATTAGCGTCATTGTTTATCTTTATGATTTTGATTTATACTTTTTTCTTGTTCTTTTTCGGGGTATCTAATCTTAATTACAAAAAAATTAATTAATAAAATCTTTCCTCTCCAGCATCATCTTATTTAAAGGTGGAATGATTTTTTTCTATCATTGCTTCATTTTCTTATTCTTGTTTACAACAGATCATGTGTAATCTATTCAATATTCATTAAGGAGCCCCGTTTGCACTAGTAATGGTTACATATTTGAAGCAAGAGGTCTCCTCTTCTTCCACCACCAATTTTTGGTGCCTAACGCGCGTATTCCTAATTGAAATAAAAAGTGGGGGAATTGTTCATTCAACAATGCCGCAAAGACCCTGAATCAGATGGAAGCGCTGGAATATAATTATATTAATGGCAAACTTGATACTATCCGTATAATATCCTTCCCATATATGAGTGGATAGATAACCAATGTAATTGTGATTAGATACCTAGTTCTATAATCCCTATTCCAGCTAATGTTGAAATGTTCTCCTATTCAAATTAAGTACCAAGAGCACGTCGCCAAAGTATACCCCGCTAGAACTAAGATTATATTAAGTCCCCCTAAAGGAGCTTTCTGTAATTCAACCCGAGGACAACTACGCTCACCATGGGAGGTACCTAACGACCATAGCATACATAACTCAGGGTTCTACTTACAGGAAGCGTTTAACCGTAAGGCAGTTTTTTAACTTTTCAAAGAGTGACGCTGATGTGATGCTACCTTTTCATTCTTGGGTGTCGCTTGCCATCTCAAAACGGCAATATCAGTAACCAATAGGAGGTAATCGATTTCAAACCTGATCATTGAATTTTCTTAATTTGTAGCATAACATGACGACTGAATAAATTTAGGTTTAAAGTTTGTGATTTGGAATGACGTGCGGATATACACTACTCTCTGTGTTTTCCGACGTTACCTTACATTAATGAAACCAAGAAAACTACTGTATACTACTTGGCTATCTCTTTGGGGTATTCTCGGTCGAACCTTTTGAGTGCTGTCGCTGACGTTATTGACTTTATCGTTTGCTTGATGCGTGACTCTATTCAACTGGGTGTCAACAATTACTTCTTGGGGATCATTAACTTGAGGTAAAAGTTTATCCAAAAGTGTGGTAAGGGCCCATATCCATCTAAGTATGTTAGTAGACCCCCCTAATGATGTCTACATACTTTTTGTGACATCATTACTGTTAATTTTAAAGCGTAAAGAGATAAAAGTTCTAAAGTTTTTTGCAACACCTTTTTTTCAGTGTGTTGCCGAAAACGAAGTAAATTATCAAAATACATTTCATGCCCAAACCACTCATTGCTATTTGTTCTATTAATATACACACATGCTACATAATTAAGTCTTCTTTGACTTCCTCTTCTTAGCTCCCGACGACTTACTCGATGAGCCAACTTTTACATCTTTCATATTCTTTAATGCATCATCATCAGGAAACAATGGTAATTCTTGACTACCTTGTGATGAACCGCTTGCAATTCCAATTTGATTCCTTAATGCCTTTATTTTGTATTCCAAATCTTCAGTGGTTTCTGGTTTTTTAGTCAAATCACTCTTTTTAGCTATTTCGGCCTTTTTAGCCAATTCTTTTTCTTCTTTAGTTTGATTTCTATTACGTTCAATTGCTGATGCCGTTTCTAATTTCTTAATTAATTCTTCTGTCTTTGTGAATAATTCCTGTTGTAATTCACGATCATTATATTCTTTTCTGATTTTGGTTAATATCTTACATTCTTGAATTAAATTCCCACCTTCAACTTTCATAAAAATGGGTGCAAATAATGCAAAATAAAATGATTGTGCCCCTTGTTCTAAACTCTTAAAGAATAACCACCAAATAGGATATAATATCAAATAAATCACCAAACCCCAAATACTTCCCATAGAAATAAATCTTCTAGTTGAAGGAGATCTTAACAAACCCGGATTTACCAAATTTATCCTCACATTACAAGGAGCAAGATCTTTTCGTTCATACTTCATCAATTGTTCCTGATATTCCCTAGCAAACAACCCAAGCAACAACTTCGACATCCCATACAATTTCCAGGGTTCTGATTTCGGATATCTCCTCTTCTCCCATCCTAAATCATCCATATCCAACTCTTGAACCAACCCTTGCAGAGAACAAGTCGCAATCAAAATCCTAACATCTCGACCAGGAGGTTGCACTCTCAAACTAGGACCCAATAAGGTCAATAATTGAAAATGAGCTAAATAATTTATCCCAATCTGTCTCTCAACCCCATCCATGGTAATCTGCCTTTCTTTTCCCCGGGGGATACATTCCGCCGCCAAACAAATCACTCCATCCAATCTTCTTGGTGTCGCATTATCTAACCACCTCGTAACGAATTTTCGAATACTATATAATGAACTCAAATCACATTCTTCAGCATAAATTAATCCATTATTGGTCAGATCTCTTATATCGTCGATATATTCAGCTAGCCACATATCGTTGGTTTTTCTAGTTAGGAGGATTAATTGTGCCCCACGACGAGCTAGGTCACGGGCGATGTGGGCGCCTAGTCCACTAGTTGCCCCAGTCATGATGAAGACTTTTCCGTGCATGTCACGTTCCCAGGTGTTGGAAGTACCGGAGAAATAATACTTGAGGAGGGCGATGGTGAGGGTGATGGGGAGGATTGTGGGGCCGTAGGTTTTGAGGGTGGGCCAGTAGGGAATGACTTGGGGGCCGTCTAGTACGACGCTGCTTATGAAATCAACTGGCATGTCTTCCTAATTAGATATACTATTTTGATGATGAGAGGTAACAATCCCAGATCTCATCAATTAAATCTGGTTGAAATTTTTCTGAGTGTTGTTGAAGTTGTGGCGCTGCCAGTTTTGAAGAAACTGTTGCTACTAAATTAATTTTTCACTGGGCATCTCATCACTATATCAATCTCATCTCTTCTTAAAAATCCGATATCTAGATTCCAGAACAACAACAACCAGCATGGACGAATCAGTATTCTACATCTCCCAAGGCGATCCAGCCGACAAATCCTCCCAATCATCCCTCGCCCACGCCAGTTCAATCCATACCTCCCACCACCACATCTCATTCCGTCAAGCCGACTCTCCTTCCAATGGTGCCTATCTTACAGGATTCGGACCCGGTGAGAGATTGTTCACCTGTTCTGCCACCAAAGCTTTGATTACGGTATATTCCTGGGGCAAGGAGGCTCCTGAACAACGTATCCCCATCCCGGAGGCATTGTCTTGTTTGACTGTGATTGACCATCCCCAAACTGGGAAATTTTCAACAGTGCCGAGGTTTAGGATTCCCTGGTTGTTGGCGGGTGGGAGTAAGACGGGGAAGATATATATTTGGGAACTTAGTTCTGGAGATTTGGTCTGTGTGAAGGAGGGGCATTATCAGGGGATTACGAATATTAGGTTTGATAGAGGTGGGAGTTTTTTGGTGACGAGTGGACAGGATGGGAGGTGTATAGTTTGGAATACGGCTGATTTGGTTAAGAAAGTGAAGAGTGAGGATGGTGGAGTGAAGCCGTTTTATCAGATTACGGATAATACATTGCCCATAACTGATATGGTTATCAGTGGTGGTGGTAATGATTTGAGATTATATACTTGTTCAAAAGATAATACTGTTCGTGTTTATGATATAATGACAAAACAATTATTGACGACTTTTATATTATCAAATCCAGTTGATAGTTTAACTCTTGATCCTGCAAATCGGGCCATTTATGCCGGATTGGAAAATGGACAAATTAGATCTATTCCATTATATAACATAAACCCAAACACGGGAGTATTGGAAAGTATTGGTGGGATGAATAAGATAATCACCGTTGAGAATGATCCAAATTTGAAACATACCTTTGTCCAACATCGGTCTGATGAGGAGGGATCAATGATATCGGTTACGAAATTGTCAATTTCTTTAGATGGGACAAGTATAATATCTGGTGATTCTAAGGGAAGAGTATTTGTATCTGATATCGTTACTAAGCAAGTTATCAAAGCTTTCACTCCCTGTCCTAACAATTCACCAATTTCATATCTTGCCGTAGCGACAATACCTGGTGATTCTGCAACTGGATTGGGAGCAAAGAATTTAGATAAGAAACATAGAATGATCCCACAATTCAAGAGAGTGTTAGCAAGTAATGATCCAGTTGATCATCAGTTGTTTTTAGATATTCCTGGGGATGTACAACAAGGAGAAGACGATTCTTTTGAAAATTGGTTAAAGGAGAAACAAAATGAAGAATTAGAATTTAGAAATTTGTCAGGCGTAGCTTCAACTGTGAAACAATTGGGTGGGACAACTTCTAGTGGTGATAATTCCAAAGTAGTTGATCTTGAAGAGAAGTTGAAGAAGGTGGCTGATGCTTATTCTGAGTTGAGAAATAAACATGAATTACTTATTAAGGATCATGCTAAATTACTTGATAGCATTGATTCAAAAGAGTAGACTTCTCTCTCTTTTTTATAGAAATAAGAAACTTGTATAGTAGAAATAGATATATCATATTGCATTGCATTGTCGTTTGCGGAAGAGCCTGTAGGTTGAATTGTGGTGAATTGTGTTCCATGTAATATTTGCAGCAATTGAATCGTGAGAGATGGCCATCGCATAAAATTATATTTTTTTTCTTTCATCTCATAATTTTCAAATTTCTTCAATACACCGAATAGATATTTATCACATAGAACAAGACATCCAAACAAACTACATACTATAAACACAATGTCAGAAGTTGAAAAATTATCCAAGAAGCAAAAGAAAGCACTTGGATTCCGTAAATCAAAAGAAGAAAGAGAAGTTGAAAAACAAGAAAAACAACAAAAACGAAAACTAGAAGATGAAACACCCGAGGCCACAGCCACCCAACCATCTACAACTGAAGAAGGCGGGGAATCACCCGCTCCTAAGAAGAGAAAAACCAGAAGAGGTAAGAAAGGAAAAGGTGTAAATGAAGGTCGTGGACCAAGATTTATAGTATTTGTCGGAAATTTACCATATGATATCACCCAAGTTGAATTAGTATCCCATTTTAAGAATAGTAATCCTGATAGAATTCGAATTAGACAAGATAAAGGGATTGCATTTTTGGAATTTGATAATGATACTCAAGAGATTCAAAGTAAGATGGAATTAGCTTTGCGTATGCATCATTCATTATTAAGGAATCGGAAAATAAATGTTGAATTAACTGTTGGTGGTGGTGGGAATAGTGAGAATAGAATACAAAAGATTAAAGAAAAGAATGAAAAGATGTTGGAAGGGAGAAAGAAGATGGATGAAGTGAAAAAGACGAAGAAGGCGGAAGGTAAGAAGGTGGATAATAAGAAATCTGAAGGTGGAGATGATGATTCTTCTGCTCCTGTTGGTCGTCCTTCTGGGATACATCCATCTAGAATGAAGTTACTTAGTTAGGAAGCTTAAACTTTAGGTTATTTTTTTCATATTAATTAACCACATCTAACATATACAGAAAGTCAATGAACACAAAACTTTGTATCTTTTATCGTAAATAATTGATTGTCCTCATAATATACACATAGGGTACCTATAATATAGTACACTTCTTTTTAATAACTCTTTTCTTTCTAGGAGTAGTATTAGTTCCTGAAGTATCAGAAGATAAACCAGGTATTCCACTTACATAAGGCTTTTTAGATCTTGGAGGTTCCAATACCGCTCTAATTGCAAAATCAAAAATCTCTCGAACACCAAATTGAGTTGCAGCAGAACATTCCATATAATCGATTGCTCCAATTTCCATTGCTAATTTTTTACCTTGTTGATAAGTGATTGGTTTTAAACCATTTGAATCTAATTCATCTAATATACTATAATCATCTCTTAAATCAAGTTTTGTACCTATTAATAAAATCAATATATCTTTTGGACAATGATGTAATATTTCAGGTATCCATTTTGATCTTACATTTAAATAAGAATCAGGATTAACTATTGAAAAACATACTAAAAAGATTTCAGTTTGAGGATAAGATAAAGGTCTTAATCTATCATATTCTGATTGACCAGCAGTATCCCATAAACCTAATTTGATTGGTTCTCCATCGATCATTACAGATGCAGAATAGTTATCGAATACAGTAGGGATATAATCATTAGGGAATGTATTTGTTGTATATGATATTAATAAACAAGTTTTACCAACTCCACCATCACCAACAACAACTGCTTTAATACTTCTCATTTTTTTAACTGTCTATATGTGTGTGTGTTTGTCTTTTGTATGGTTTAGATACTTAGTAGTAGTAACTGTGGGTATGTGTGTGTGTATATGACAAAAAGGAGGTAGTGTAGTTTGTACTTATAGTAAGTTGTAGATTACTGTTAAATTGATTTTATTGTTGAAAAAACTGAAATATATTTAAATTTAAAAATGTACAAAAAAAAAAGGTTTGGTGAATTTGCTTTTTAAGGGAAAAATAAAAAAAAAAACGAATTCGATAAATCAAACTTTATATTAAATTTTAGTTATGGGTATATCGTATATTCGTCCTTTTAGTAACCTGAGGCTTATTAATTACTTTAGAACTACTATTCTTTAGAGAATACATACGTCTATTGTTTGTTAGTTGATCTTGTGTATCATTGGGGTGTTCTTCCGTTGCTCTGGCCGCTCTGTCTTCTAACAGCGCATGATGATCTCATTCACTCTCTCTCTGTGTATTATGTGTATGTAATAATTGTAACACTTTTTTATTTTTCGTCTAATGTCTCGGCAAATTAAAATATTTATTTTTTTATTTCTGATTTAACTTCAAATTGATTGATTGAATTTAAAGTGTTACCATTCGGTTGTAATTGTCAAAACAACTTCAAATCTGAAACACACAATATCTTTTTATGGTAATTAATTAAATGGTGTATCACAATACGAATTTAATAGAAACTGAGACGCTTTGTGTAATTATACTAATTCTTTTTCAATAGACCTTAAAATGGAAACTCACCGTACAACAATTGTTTATAAAGAGTAATTATAATAATTATTTGTAACACAAAGCATAAACTAACAATTAACAATTCACAATCAGATTGTGTGTAATTATTTATTGTAAATTGTGCCTGGCGATTACTAATAATAATGTCACAAATGTAAAAAAAACTATGGCTTTTGTCATTTTTGAAATTAACCTTATAATTATAAACTATACATTTCATTAATAGGGGGCCAATTGTAAAAAAAGTGTACTCTAACTAAAACATATCATTCTACAACAAATCCATTTTGATTACAGAATTGCTAACAAAACAAACTAAACGGTAACTAATTATCACTATGTATGTACGTACTGTATATATATATCGTACGATCTTATTATAGTACGATTTTTAACTTACTGGAATCTCTCTATCACCAAAACAAAAAAATAAGAACATGACATTTTGAGATAATAATAATAATATCACTTTGTATTTCTTAAGACAAGCAGGCTAGTAACCAACTCTTGTATCTCTAAGTTTTCTATAGAGCCATACTATTTTCGGTCTTAAGAACAACAAGTTCCTTTGAAATTAATCTGGTATCGCTGCATTCCGATAATGTTTCACTTAATAAAAACAGATGTGTTGTTAGTCCCAATGTCTCTAATACAATGGATCGACTATACCTGACACTTATGCAAGATTTTCATTCAACTATGCTAGATTTATTCTGTTGGGACATTACATGAATAGGTTAAATTGCTATACATTTGTTAGTCATATTTAAGAGATTAATTCAAAGACAATTCTTGAAACATTTGTTCTCAAGTGTAAATGTCCAGGATTTAAATCTTGAGTGATTATAAATGGGTTTCAGGGGTTGTTCAAGACTGTCATTGATACTTGGCGATATGTCAAGATTCATCCCCTCTTTTTGGGGGAGTTGCTTTCACCGTATAAGCATCTTCTATTGTAAAACAGATGCTATGAATACTTAATTGCATGATAAGAGATACCTAAAAAGTTTGCAATCGTTTCTCGAAATGGTATAATAAATCAATCTTCATCCCACACAATCAATTGATTTGGTCTTAAAGTTAGATTCCTCAAGGCACTATCTAGTTTCACCCCTGATCTTAATCTTCTTATCGATTCTTAGATATTTCTTTACAAATCTCTTGTCCTTTGTTGTTTTATTGTACCAAATCGACAAGTTTTGCAGCCCCTACCTTATCAGTAGGGTGCTACCAGGTGAATTTTAATGTTTCAACATTTTTTTCTTGTTGTTTAGTCTCTGGGCACGACTCTTCTATCTCGCTAATTGTTGTGAACTGTACGGCATTTAGATATTGAAACAAGAATATCCCGGGGTTCCTCTTCCACATCCACTTGAATTGTGAAAACTCGACAACTTTCGAGGGTTTTTCTATCCAATTCCTTTTCATTCCTTACCAAATTGATAATCATCTACAACTGAACAAGATGTTTACTCAAGTTAAAAAAAGATTCTTTCATCAATCACGTCCAATCCTTGCTGATTTTTCCCATGTTGTCATTGGGGGTGGTGTTGTAGGTACGGCAGTTGCAGCTGAATTACAATTACAACCAGGAAGTAATGTTCTTTTATTAGAACAACATGGTGCCTTGGGTTCTGAAACTACTTCGAGAAATTCTGAAGTTATTCATGCTGGGATTTATTATCCAAAAGATACATTAAAAGCCCAACTTTGTATTAAAGGAAAACAAAGGATTTATGAAGCGTTTGAAAAAGGACATTTTCAAAGTGTTCAAAAATGTGGAAAATGGGTTGTTGCTCAAAATCGAGAAGAAGAAGAATATTTATTTGCAATTTTTAATAATGCAAGAGATTTGAATGTTCCTGTTACTTTATTACCTAGAAATCTTGCTATGAAAAAACATCCATTAATTCATGTTGGACAAAATGTATTAGTAAGTCCAACAACCGGGATTCTTAATGTTCATGATTATGTATTATTCCACGAGGGTAGATTTGAAAATGCCGAAGGAACCATTTCCTTAAATTCAAAAGTCACGGCATTAGAACGTGAAAACAATGAATATAAAATCACCGTCCAAGACACCGAATCTCAAGAAACCACCACCATCACTTCTGAAAATCTCATCAATTCCGCCGGATTACACGCGGCAAAAATCTCAAATATGTTATTACCCCCTTCACTCCATTACGAGTATCATTTCGCCAAGGGGAATTATTATAGTTTTACCCCTGAAACCCCAGTGGGTAAAATCTCCGATGTATTAATCTATCCTTGTCCCAATCCCAATGCAACCTCATTAGGTACGCATTTAACTTTTGATCTTGGGGGACAAATCAGATTTGGACCCGATATTGAATGGTTAGATACCGAAGACCCCGAGCAGATTGATTATACTCCCAATGCATTGAATTTACCAAAAGCGTATGAGGCGATTAGGAGTTATTATCCTAGTTTACCCGATGGGTCTTTAAATCCTTCTTATTCCGGTGTGAGACCAAAAACTGTGTCTAAGGCTATTAATGAAGGGATTTCGGTGGATTTTAGAATTAAACAAGAAGAAGGATATCCTGGGTTTGTTAATCTTATGGGGATTGAAAGTCCGGGGTTGACTGCTGCTTGGGGGATTGCTGAATATGTTAGAGATATGTATTATAAATAATCTTAGAGAAATTTTTGTATTGTTGTATTTATTGTATATCTAAAAATCTAGACCCGTTCATTTCTTTTGTAATTACCATCAATTGCCATACTCCCCAGTCCGGTTAATATCAACAAATTTTTCGTCAATAGAAAGAGTTGAACATGTAGAATAACTCCGGGGGATCACATTTATAATTGAATGAAAATCTATTTGAATAGAACTAAACTCTTCAGTATTGAGGTGAAGTCATAACGGAGGCAACTATCAAATATCAGTATTGAAGTTCAAACTTGAAAACTTTTGCTTAATATATATCTGGATCACAATGTCGAAGACTCTGATGAGCCAAGTGACGACACCTTTGTGCTCTTCGTCAAAATCTTATGGACTTCTTGTAATAAACTGCATATATTGTTTATCTCTACAAACCTAAACCCAATTTTCCTACATATGTCTTCGTTTTGAATCACCATCAATTCCGTCTTCTCCAGCCCTCTTCTTATCATCTCCTTTCCCTGGCAAATTCTTCGGATCAGTAGCTCTAGGACTCTCAATAAAATAATCATGCAATAAAGCTTGAGTCGAATCACACCGTCTCGAAGGATCCAATTGTGTCATACAAATCAACAAATCAAGTGCCTTTTCCGTCGCTGCACTAAATCGATTTCTCAATTCCTGTTTCGAAGGGGGTGGATACAATTTCAAAGAATTATACAAAGGTAAACTCGACACATGGGGCCAGATTTGTTCCGTGGGAGTTCCTAATGCTCGGAATGTCACATCTAATTGATCAATATCATCCTTGCCTGGTAAATAAGGGATACGTAACATTAATTCGGCAAATATGATCCCAATTGACCAAATATCAATGGCACCAGTATAATGCTTTGCTCCAAATAAGAGCTCAGGAGCACGATACCATCGTGTAACTACGTTGGATGAAAGATCTTCACTGGCATTTCCGAGGGATCGGGCAAGTCCAAAATCAGCAATTTTTAATTGTCCATCAGGTGCAATTAATAAATTATTTGGTTTTAAATCTCGGTGTAAGATGAAATTTCGATGACAATGATGAATTCCTCGAAGTGTCATCAATAACCAGGATTTTATATCTGACGATTTGAATACTATTGATTTATCTTTAATTAAAACTTCTAAATCACAAGGTAAGAATTCCAATACTAGATTTAAGTTATTTGTGGTAGAAAAAACATCAATCAATTCGATGACATTGGGATGTCGAAGCTCTTGTAAATATTTGACTTCTCGAAGTGCTGACATATCTAATCCATCTTTGAATATTCCCGTTTTGATCTCTTTGATGGCAATCCGTCGTTTGGTGGTGATTTGATGCCCAAGGTAAACCACGGCATATGTACCTTCCCCAACTTTCTTTTCTTTTGAGTAATTCTGGGTAGTGGCTGGGGATTCACGAGCTTTGTTGGATTCGGGTCGTCTAGTTGCTACTGCTGCTGTGGACATGATTGCTGATGGAAATGAGTAGTTTGATGATATTTGGAGTAATTTTCTGTCTCTGCAAATTTTACTATGACTACTCGATGTCGCATATTATAATTCTGAGAAATGTCGTTTCTGGTTGCAGAACGACATATATCTATGTCGATTGCAAAACTTTCAGTTTCATTTACTTAATTATTAATACTATTACAATTGTTTATAATTATGACTTATGCAACAACAAAAAATACAAACTATACATATTATATAAATGCAGTAGGGTTTCCAAAAAAAACCCTATATAATTCCATTCACACATTCCCATTGGGCAAACACATACCAACTAGTCCCACTATCGCCAATGACCAACCCACGATACAATCCCGTCTCCAGACATTTGATATTTGAAGAATAAACCCCATATGGTTTATCCAAATCCGTATTCTCTTTATTCAATTTAAAATACTTCCCCGAGGGTGATTCGATAACTAATTTGAATTCTTCATTTGTCACCATCAATTCATCTAATCCTTGAGAAGGATATTGTTCAATTTCAAAATTATATGATGTCTTAACAATGATTTTATTAGTTTGAGGTTTTATGATATATAAATCATTTCGTTGACTTTGTACCGTTGGGAACCTTTGGACGAATTTGGTAGGTTTATGAATACCTTGATGATATAATGGGATGACTACTGATAATTCATGAATATTTTCAAAATGTTTTTGTAATCCCTTTGGACCGGCAAAAATTTGCAATACCCCAATGGATTCACGTTCTGGTAAGATGGCTTTAATTTTGGCAATTCGTTTATGTTTGGTCCATTTGATCTGACAGAGACTGAGATCATTGGTGGTGATTTTGGCGGTTTTCACAAGGGTGAATAATTCAACATCTTGAGGAATATCTAATTCCAATTCAAAGAATTCCCAATCTTTTAATCTTGTTAATGCATTGTTGAAATTACGGATTGATAAATTGTTTTTATAGAAACCGGAATATGTTCTAGGTAAATAAAATGCAATATTTGGATCAATGGGTGGCATGACATGTTGTAAATCAATAATAGATGGGATATGAGTAGATACTAAACTTAATGGTTCTGATAAGAAATAGAATTCATTGAACTTGGAACGTAAATTACAAACAGATACATGTTTGAAATTGTAGATATCCAAAATTCGGAAATTTCCATCAATTAAAATTGATAACCAACAGTGATTGATAACATATTGTTCATTATGATAGAATTCATTGGGTTTCTTCCAAAATCCTAACACAACTTCCAGTGGGATTCTCAATGCATCTAAAATCTTCTTGAATAAATAATTGAGTTGATAAATGGATGCTTCTCCTTTGTATTGAACTTCGGTGAGTTTTGGTTTAATTGTCAGAATTTTGGATGATTCCTCGATGATTCTAAATTTACAAAAATGTAATAAGATACATCTAATTTGATTAAGCTTCGAAGTATGAAATTTAGTCGAAATATCAGAAATCATGTCATTTAAATCGGAATTGATAGAATAACTTTCCATAAATTTTTCCACTTTAGAATATTGCATCTCATCAAGTGTGAATTGACCCGCAACCCCAGTCCGAACTTCGGCATCTTCGATAACTGTCTCATTGGTATTGATTTCCGAAATAAAATCCAAGGGTTTCACAATCAAACTACCTTCTTCTCTAACAACACGTCTCGTTCTACCTTGCTTATCCAGTGTAGTTAAAGAATTCATCCGATCAATGTCCATTTTAAAAGCGGTCATATCAATTTCTTCTTGTTTCTTGAACCTCTGTTCAATTGGGTGGTTTAATGCAATATCGTCCGAGTTAGATTTCTTTAACAACTTCTTAAAGATGTTAGGATGTCTTGATTTCTTATCTTGGAAAACATGATCCATTGTTTCTTTTGTACCTGTAGGAATACGAAATTCTGGTTCTTGGGGACTAGGTCCATCGTTTTGTTCGTTTTCTTCAGCTTCCTTCTCTTCTAATGACATCCCATTCATTCCTAATTCACTTTGACGGAGTTGTTTCTCATACTTGTGTCTCATGAAGGAGCCGGCACTTGTTGCACTCAATTCGGATAAGTTCAATACATCACTTTGTAATGACTTGATTGAAGCCTTCAATTCTTCGTGTTGAAGAGCCAATCTTTGAAGATCCTTCTCAGTTACATCTATCTGACTTCCACTTCCATTGAATGAAGCTTTCTGAAATAACTGATTCTCAGTTTCATAATTCTTTCTGATTGGTGTTGCATGCTTGGGTGGTGGTGGGGGAGGTGGAGATTCCTCTCTTTCAGGTGAGGCTGACCCATGATTGCTTCTTATGTATTGGCGATTATCGTCATATTCGTCATCTTCATAATCCTCGTCTGTGACCGATCTGGATAGTTTCTTACTTAAGTCGTCACGAGAAGGGTATGGTTTCTTGGAGTCCTCATTACTAGAATATGAGTCAATTGATGGGTTATTGTCATGTAGATGTTTTGCAATTGGACTTTTCTTCATTATAGATGATCTTTCTAATTGTTTCAACTTTTGCAATTCATATTCTAATTGGGCTCGTTTTCGAGAAATTTCTTCGAAATCATTTAGGATATCGTCTTCTTGTGGAATCTGACCACTTCTATATCCACCATTTGGAGAATGTTGGCGCAGGCCATATGGTTCAGCGCCTTGTTGATAAGGGGGTGAAGAAATTTGGGTACCATTCCTCGGTGTGGTTAAATCAGCATAAGATTGTGATTTTGGGTAATGTTGTTGAGAATTATTTTCTCGAGGCACAAATGACTGAGATCTACTATTCTTAATCCTTACGTCTGGTGAACTATAATACTTCTCGTGCTGTGAGAATCTTTTGGAATCGGACTGAATTAACCTAGGAGTTTGGGTGAATGAACCGTCATCTACCTCAACGTCTCGTAACATTTCTTCTTGCTGTTGTTGATACGCCATTTTATTCCTAGGATGATTGATAATTGACAGCATGCATTTCTTGGATCTAGTGGCCTTGGTTGGAGTATACCCGGTTGCTTTGAAACTGTTGTCAAAACTACCATCAGCCTCGTATTCAAAAGACATGTTTGGATTGTTCAATGGGTTAGGAGGTGGTTTTGAAGGAGTCAATTTGTTCAACAATGTCTGAGGGGTACTTCCATTGCTTCTTCTCATCCTTGGATCGTCTTGCAATGGCTGTTGTTTAGTTGGAGTATTGAATCTAGAATTATTCAATGAATTGTTGCTGGAAGAATGATTCAATCTATCTTCTATGATTTCAACATAATCTCGAGGGAAAATACCTTCAGCATTATTTCTTCGTAACTTTCCACTCCACCAACTTTCATCAACTATGGAATAAACTTCCACCACTTCGTTTTCAATAAAACCGAGATCACCTTCTTCTTCTCCTGCCCAAGACACTATTGTCTTTACTTTGAATGGTAAGGCAGGAATTGACATGCGAGGATATATGCAAAAGATTGGTTAAAAGAAGCAGAAAATGCCAGAAAAGCGTCAATCTGTTTTCTATAAATAAGTGAAGCTGACAAAGAGACTGAATTGAATCAGAGACAGAGAGACAAAGAGATTGGATCAAGAACGGTTGTAAGAAAATGTATGTGAATTTCATCTGGGTGTTTTTTTTCTTCGAGAGCTTGCTGCTTTCCTAATTGGGAAATATGTAAACAACTGGGTTATATGCAGTACAGTTTTGATCTCACCTAATTTATTCCACACAAGGTATCCTACTTCCAATGAATCAACCACTCTTCCGCCCTACGACCCCTACCGATCCTACATGATAAGGTACTTACTAGAATTGTTATCTTGCTGTCTCGACGAGGTGCCTACAAGAGATTTCCACTCTTTCTTGCCTGGATTTGCGATTCATTGAAATCGATATAGAGTAAATTGTAAAAAACAAACTTTCCAGAGACTTCTTAAGTCATTTATTTATGGGATGGGAGAATATTATCTATTTCCACTAATCTAAACCAACCAAAGAGGTTGTTGAATAAATAATCTATTTTTAGTCTTTTTTTTTGAAGAATTGCTGCAAAAAAAAGCATGAAGAAAAATAAAATGCTACAACCTCAGAAGACTTCTGTCACTGTCCAACACACTATAACAGAGATCACTCTTAAATTGTATTGCCCTTCCATAAAATAAACCCAACATATCGTCACAAAAACAATGTCCTGTTACTTTAATTACCAAACGAATGCCATTGTTTCGAACCTCAATTCGTCCCTTTCAAGCGGTATATAGTCTCTTCCTTGCCCGTAGCTCTGTCTAGTCATGAACTAGTATTAGGAATAAAGCACAATAAATGGTCTGTACATTCCAGAAGAAGCTCTTGAAAACTGGATCTAATTCTATCAATAGAAAGCAATTTTAGAGTTTTAATTGGAATCAGAGTGTGTTTGCGAAATTGGTAAACTACATAGAGTTTCGGCGTTAGACTCTGATTTTCTGAAAGTCATAAGAATCAAATTTGCTTTGTTTGTGGATTGATGAAGTAAGCGGGGTGGGTGACGTGATATGTTCCTGGGGCATCGATATTATTGGAAAAAGATAAGAACATTATTTTTTTGGGCTAAGTGTCATTTTTTTTTGGAACCTTATTGTTTCCCAATCGGTGGTTCAGCCGCACTATCATCTTGACATCCTTAAAAATCACATTGCAAATTAAAGAACTTGAAATCTACTTCAATTGGAAACCAAAACAATGACGTTCAAAACCAAAAGGACGAATACGTTAAAGAGACATAAGGACAATTGGACTGATATCACTGATATTAGAGCAGAACTTAAAGAACTTCGTGAAGAAATACATGAATTATCAATCACTTTAAAGTCGCATATCAAGCAGCCCGCCGGTATCTTCATGCTTCCCGATGAGGTTGTTTTAATTGCTTTACAATATGTTAATCAGATGGATGTATTCAATTTAGCATTGACCCATAGACGATTTGAAAATGTTTGCAGAACTAAATTGTTTCAATCCATCTATGTTTATGATGATGACACCGATCAAACTATAACGATAAATATTCCAAAGAGGATATATACCGATTTCTACATAAATAACACAATTGTAGGGCTGCGTAGGTTCCTTAATATGCTTTCAAGTTTGTATTGTAGACCTAGTCTCATACAACATATAATGCTTGAGAATGACAAGTTCATCTCAACTTCAGCCTTGGATATCATTGTCAAGGCATCCCCAAATTGCTCAATTGTATTTGGTCACATTTCTTTCCCCGACACTGAACTTTGGATCATAAACAGACAAAATACAACTAGATCAAAATATCATTGGTTAAGAAATGATCTGGAGTATGAGTTTCCTGAAGATTTTGTACCTTCCGTCAAACATTTGGTCATCGACTGCATAAATCTGTATATAATGAAGAGCTTGAATTTCAAGCTGGTGAAAACTGTTAAAATCAATCAATTCCCCTTTTTGGGGATTCCAGCACAGGTAGTAACTCGTTCACAGATTTCGTCTGCAAATATTTCAACTCCGGCGCTATTAGAATATTTTGATGTTCTGAAGATTACTCAATTACTGATAACTAATCGCTGTCGGACACATTTGGATGATGGTTATATTAAAGTACGTCCTGTGTCCTTCCGATCACTTAAAATACTACAAATCGACTTATTTATAGATTCTATGATTGACTTTATCCCAGGCTTGTTCATGAATTCTTTGGAGGAGCTTTATTTTGGATGCGATGTCCGGCAGGCTAATAAATGTTTTGGATCTATGCTTAACTGGCATAAAGGCTCTTTGAAAGTTTTGGGATTCTCGACTTCAATGGACAAGAGAGGCTATCAAACTGGCTGTCTGTATTGGATGAAATATTTATATTGTTATGCTGATTTCGCAAGAGTTTTAGAACGTCATTTGAATATTAACTTAGTCGATTTCCCATTGTTGGAACAGGTGGTAGGAGATAGGCAAGTTTTAGTTGTTGATAGACTACCCAGGGAACCTCGTTTGGTTCCTCTTGAATTTCACAACTCTAAGCACAATGCAACGCGTTAATAGCTTGATTCGTTGTCCTCCATAGTCTGGTGTCTTGAATGAAATTAAAGCTGTTGCAATTTTAGATTGGCAAACTTTGATTCATTACAGTGATCCTATAAAAGTAACGTGCGTAACGAAGTTGTTTAGAAAAGCAAAAGAGTAAATTGTGTTTTCGTATCCATTTAATACATATATCTCTAACAAAATTATGCACGCCAATATTGTGCCAAACTATGTAATCTATCAATAACAACTGGCAAGAAAGCATTCACACTATCATTAATCAAATTCTGGAAATGTAAAATCGATTCTTCTTCACTCATCTCCAAACAAAATTTTTCTTGTACTTTTTCAATACATCTAAGCGGATCAATCTTTATATCTGGAATATTAGCGTCCAACATTAATCCAAAAAGATTCAAAATCAACTGGGAATTTTTACGGAGGGTGCTATATGTCACAAAACAATAATTCTTAAAAATATTATAATTCTCATGTGTTAATCCTCCCATTCCATCAATAATTTGAATAGGCAATTTCATCAATGGTGGGAATGGTTTAGGATCTCGCCCAAGTATGTATCCGAAATCAGCATGCCAGAATTTCCCATTCGGTGATAATAATAAATTATCTAAATGACGATCACCAACTCCTAAAATATAGGTGATTACACAATATCCAGCACATGATTTTACATAATTATCCATTAATATTGGCGAAACTCCTAAATCAGAAGTTATGGCAGGTTTGGGTAATGGAGGTGAACTAACTTTTCCAGTACTTGAATCAAGAATACTCTTGGATGGGGAAGGGTGGAGTTCTGGCTGTTGTTGTTCTTGACTATGTAACTTCAAATAGTTAAGTATTCCATTGCTGTTGATAGTCGCAGTAGCATTCAGACTTGGACGGGAGGCTACGACTTCATTAGGATAAGTTCTCGACAAGATCAGATCTAAAGTTTCATTCGGCACGAATTGGATCAAACCTGCCACGGGTGATGTTGCCAAAATTTTATAGGGAGTTAACTTTAAGTCCAAGTTTTCATTCTTTAATAATTGATCCATCAAATCAATAATTTGAATAACCAATTGATCTTGTCGTAAATCATCCCCAATCTTGAACATCATAGGGTATTTGCCATGCTTGCTACTCCTCTTTCCGAATATTTGTGAATGATGATGTCCACTTTTCCTCTCAACTGTTTTCAACGTAATTTTTAATGGTGCTAAAGAAGATTTAAAAACCGCAGATTCTTCTGGATAACATCCACATACCATAATTGAGGGATCTAAAGGTAACGGGAAAGGCTCGGGGAATTTATTCAATTCATTTGAAGAATTAGCTAAATACTCTTTCAAGAATTCAGTTTTTCTCATCGTCGCCTCATTCTTTTTGAATGAAGATCGTAATAATTCAACCAAACCAGTCAATTTCTTAATAAACCAAATTTGTCGCTTTAAATGTTTATAATATGGTAATTTGGATTCTTGACAGTGATTCTTGAGACTCTCGATATATGTGTTTAATATAACTGAGTAGATGGAGGATTCGTCGGGTGAAGTATTTAATTGATCTTCATTCTCAACTTTAACATACCAATAAAAGAAATTACCTAATTTCTCATTGTCAATAGATCTTTCAATTAGGAATTTAGCCAACGGAGATTTCATGGGATCAATATCACTACCGTCAATTTCTTCACTTTCACCAAGAACCAATGTTGGATCTTTAGTTCGTTGATGGGTTTGTTTAGATGCCGCCAGTTCATCAGCAAATGGCAATCTCGTTCCATAAATCATAGCTTCATACTTGAGAGCTTGAACCAATTGTAGGAGATATAATTGTAACTCATCATTATTTGCCAATCTCAATCTCTCAACTGCCAATTGTCGCAAATAATTTACATTTTTGAATATCTTCATAAATTTCTTTTCATTCTCTTTTAACTTTGAATCTTCGGAAGTATTAGAACTGGAAACATAATAAGTTTTCCCCAATATGAATGGATTAAAATAGTTCCCCAACAATTCTAAACTATCTCCAATTGTTAATTTATCAATTGTCCAATAATTAGGAACAATTTCTTTAAAACTATAATCTAATTCATAGGCATTTTCCCAATTTATAGATTTTAAAAACTTAAGTAAGAATGATTTAAATACCGGATCGGAATTATTCTTACTGCAATAATATCTAAACTTCCAAATTAAATTCTTTTCATAATCTATCAATTCAATATTTGAAGATTTGGTCAATATCTTCAATAGCTCTTGTCTCAATGACGGGGTAGGTTTTAATTCTTTATCTAAGATTGAGTTGTATGTACTTATATTTCTCTCCAATTTATGATACTTTAATTCGATTGGATCGAGAGTATTTGAACCTGGGTTAGTATATGCTATTCGGGTTGATATTTGGAAATCTGGATCATATACTTTCACCATTGTGGGGTCTTGAGATGTTGACATCGGGATATCAATTGAGTTTATAACAATACTAGAAGTCGGATCGGGCAAGCTAGCATTAGTAGCAGTTGTTGAAGCATCGGTCATCGGGGTAGATACTGGTACTGTATTATATAGTATATCAGAATATACGATTGGTAATTCAAAATTGGGCAACTCGACATATAAATAGTAGGGAAATAAATCGTCCTGGTATTGCTTGTCTGACGGCTTTCCCAAATGGTTTAGACTTGGTAATACTAATCTATCTAGCCAATTCAATCTTTTAAAATCACCATTTTCAAATTTAATCAAGTCTTGTTCTAATTTTGTTAATCCTTTCAAATCGCCGTATTCGATAATATCTCGTTCTACTATTGATTCTCCCATGTAGATTCCAAGTTTTTGAGAGCCCTTTCGTAAGGTGCAATTCTCATGATTAAATAATGATAAATATCCAATTCCGAAAACGGATGGTTTTGTATCTATTATTTCATATATGGTGAATTTCAAATAACTATTAATTGATATTTGATTATATTGAATTGATAACTTTAAATGTTGATTCCAATTTCGATTATTAGTGAAATGTTTATAATTAGTTTGAACTGGTGGACATATCAAAACATTATTGTCATATATACTCAATTGCACGTAAAGATCTGCATACTTGTGTATTTGACTTAACTTCTTGAATACCGATGGATCTTCGAATCTTTCAGAAACATTGACAATAGATGGCGTTGTTGATGATGTTGCCGTTGGTTGTAAATAACAGATCTTGATTATGATTGATTGTGAAAGATCTTTCGATAAGCCAAATGTATTTGACAACGTGAGTGAGTCATTGGTGGTTGCTGCAATGGTGGTCATTACAGTTAGTCGGTCTCTCTCTCTTTCTTGAATAAGCTTGAATGGTCAACCTCTCTTTATCAATGAGTATAATAGGAATTAGGATAACGGACGGTCGTGTAAAATGGTCAAAATAATATATCAGTTGCACGTGATCTAAAGGTCGGGTAACACCTGAGTCAATACAAAGCTAAATAGCCAAACATTTTACTATATTGTATCTTCGTAGGATAAAACACACAGTGGAAACTTGCCTTTAAGTTCAAATCCGCTAAGGAGTCTCTGTCAGAAAGAGGTCTTATTTTTAAATAGAATGGCTCACTAAGAATTTAAAAGATGTTGGACCTTTGTGTTTATATTGGACTTATCTTAGAAATGTATCCATCTATGATAGAGAAGAGCATGGTACGGGAATTAAAAAAAGGTTAAGAAGTTAATCGACTTAGGCGTTTTTTAGAATTATTAATCTTGTGTATTTCTTTAAGATGTATATACTAAAACCAAATAGTTTGATAAAAAGAGTATCCTTTTACCATCTCCTCTTTCGCTTTTTCTTCTTTGCTTCTTTCAGTTTGGCATCCTTTTCTTCTACTATTCGTCGACATTCATCTGAACAAAACCATTTCACCTTCCCAGTAGTATACTTTAATGCTTCTACTCTATTTAAAAGTCCGACACATTTATAATGAAACCATTCTCCGTTCTGACACGACTCTTCGTTATCGCATGCTATCATATCCCCAAATGAACCCTGCTTACAGAAACAATAACTATTCTTATCTTCTTCTTGTTCCTCTGAAACCTCTGGCTCCGGCTCAATAGTTGGAATATCTTTAACTGGCTTAATGACAGTTGTTCTCTCCTTAGGACTTTTCAGCACTTTTCCCAGGGCGATACTTTTCCCAGTTATGGTTGGTTTTATTTTCAAAGTGAAAGAAGATTGTTTTGGCTTTGGATGGATCTCCTTTGGTATTTTCAATATCAATTTCAATCCAGTTTTCTGTCGTTGCTGATCTTGTTTTCTTTGTTGCAAGAGCTGTTGCCGTTGTTTCTCTTGCTGTTTCTGTTGATCTTGTTCTTCCAATGCCTCACGTTGAGAAGCAAGTGGATGTTCGGCATAATGCTTTTTTAATTGATGTCGTAATTCATCATTTCGTTTAGAATTGTCATTTAGGAAGCTGGATTGAGATTGTTGGATTTTCTGTAATTGATCTAATTCTTCAGCTAGATTAAGTTTATGAGTTATCAATTGATTGTTTATTGCTCGTGATTCTTCAATGGTTTCCGCAGAAAATTTTCGTATGATTTGCTTTAGGTTTATTATTCTTTCTATTTGATTTCCAGATATTTGTCGTGTCTTATAGTATTGGATTAATAAGTCATTAAGTTCTTCCTTTGCCTTTGAGATTTTAAAGTTACAAGATTGAATTACCCATAATGATCGTACAATATCACATGGTAAATGATCTACTGTGGATATAAAAGAATTAGTGATGGTATGCGATGGGTAAATTTCTTCTTCTTCAATATTCATATTGATAAATTGTTATTGTCTTTTTGCATATTTGTGATTCTAGACCCGTTTTCACTGGGATTGTTTATGTTTTTCTGGTTTCTGATATTTGATGTGGCAGAAGTCAAATGGCACCAAGAAAAACAATAATTGGTAGCTCGAATCTGTGGTGCTACCAATGACTTAAAAATTGCAGCACTATTTTGACGCCAAATTGCGAAAAGAATTAGAATTAAATCATTCTTTTCTTCTGTACATTTCACAAAGAAAAACCCATCAATTCAATAATGGAAATTCAATCTCATCAATCCAGCAAAGACCGTTGTGACTTTGAATGTTTAGGAAAGTATTTTTGGCAATAATGTTGTTAGAAGGAAAATGAAGCCTATTTGGGGCAGTTAACCGCCACAGAAATGAAATCAAACCACAGAAACAAAATTTGAAGCTTCTTCCAACGACTATCAACATTCCAATACTACTACTCCTGTATCAGAAAGCCATGCTGCTACTACCACATTGAAGTTAATTATGAAGCTTCCTTCCTATCAAAATTTTAAAAAACACAAAAAGAATTGAAATTGAAAATCGGGGGACTTTCCATTCTATCCAAATCAACTACATATCAACTATAGACATCTACTACATCTCAAAACCATTCAAAAATCTTGAAAATGAAGAGTTATTGATGATTCAATTTGGAGAGAGCTCGACTGGATTTCATGGATCGGTTTAATCCCTTCATACTGAATTGGCCACCTGACCAATGGTTGGTTTGGTGTGATGGGTTTTTAATCTGATAGCAAGGGACGAAGGTTTCATTTCGATCTAAGTTGGTCATCTGGGAACTTTTCAATCGTTTTAAATCAATCATATCATACTCAACATTAAAATTAAGAGTTGGACATCATACAATTTGGAGACAGTTTGGACTGGATTTCATGGTTCGGGGTAAATCCTTTCATACTGAGCTAGCCACTTGACCAATGGTTAGTTTGGTGTGATGGGATTTTAATCTGATTTCAAGGAATAAAATTTGAATTGATCCAGGTTGGAAAGAAAATGAAGAATATTATTTCAGTTTTGAAGACTGTACAATATAAGTGGGTGACGAAGAATTTGAAAGTTGCTGGTGGCAGATGACGATTTGAATGGTTGCTGGTGGTGGTGGAATTAGAATGGTGGAGGTGGTGGTGGTGGTGGAAATTAGATGGGTGGAAGTTGTACTGGTGGTGGAGGAGGAAGAGGAGGTTGCGGAGGAAGTTGGATGGGTGGTTGGATGTGAGGGTGTAATTAGAACGGAAGTGGTGGAGGTGGAAGTCGAACGGAGGTGGTGGAGGTGGAAGCTGAATGGAGGTGGTCGAGGTTGTATGTAGATTTTCTTTTATCTGATTTCATCGGAAGAAGGTTAGACTTAATCTGAGTTGGATTGAGAAAGAAGAATGGGATCCACCCTTTGATATCACATTTGCGTTGGCATTGCTATGCAATATAAGATGTAACGATATTTCCATAACCATGAAGTTTTGTCAGTATCCCATTTAGGCTACTGCAACTACAATTGATTAGACAATTGAACCTTATTTCTCTTTTGGGATCTTTACTAATATCTTTCACTCTAGCCTCATCTTTTCTGATGATTTCGGTTGTTCTATCTCCAGTTCCCTTTCCGAAAGGCATTTTATGCCATCTGTCACATATTCGATTAACCTTGTATTCCTGCCTAACCAACTTGATACTCTATTCTTATTTAGATCTTCTCGTAGATTTTGTCCATTTGACCTCTGGAAGTGGGATTTCCTTGTAATTTTTGGCATCCTGTAAAGATAAAAAGCGTAATTGACCTAGAAATCTGTAAATTTAAACGTTCTTCTCAACCAATGTCTTCTCCAGAGGTGTAAGTTTCAGAAAGCAAGCTGTCATAATAAACTATTGATTATGTTAGTATACTAGAAGAGCTAACCCGTAGTATGTATTCATTTATTCATGCCTGATATTACCTTCACATATCTTATATAGCTATATATATAGCAATTATTGTAATACCTTGGGTTTTTGGGCTTTCACCTAAAACATAGCAACTTTTCCAGATCTTTAAAACTTCTTTGACTCCTTCTTTATCAGTTCTATAGACTTTTTAAATTGTTCAGCCATTTGATCCAATTCGGCATTTTTCCCACTAATCCAAGCTTCTGATTTATCTAGTCTATAGAAATGTTTAAGTTAGTATTTCATTCCATGTATTTTCAAACTTGAAAGAATCTGACATACCTTGCAATGCTTCTATCTCTATCTAAAGTAAGATATTGTTCCATCCAAATTTTACTTCTCTACAAAATATGGTTAGTACTTTCTCAAAGATATATCATATCTGCGTTCTAACATACTTCATCACATTTATTCATTTGTTCAATTATTTCCAGAGTATTAGTATAATACTCATTAAATATAATTTGATAACATTCTTCAAATTGAACCCAATCAAAGCCCGAGTTTCCATTTCTGCCTTTCTGGTTCTCTTCACATGTTTGTTTAAATTTAAGCAATGGCTCACAATCTATTTCGTTTTCAATACTGGTGAGTTGTTGTTCAGTTTTCAAATATTCAAAAATGGATTCAAGAGTTTCTGGTTTTGGATCTAAACAAACCAATGACGTTGCACCATTGTCAGTCTGCTGTTGTTGTTGTTGCTGCTTGTCTTGCTCTGTTGATGGGGTGGGACTCATACTTAGACTTACCTTGATTATCTTGCAGTAAATGTGTTGCCAAAAAGAATGCAGTAAGTAAAATGTGTTGCCAAAAAAATACTATGGCATTCTGAGATTTTGAGATTTTGAGATTTTGGTTGCAAATGTTTTTTTATGTTGAGATTTTGTGCGTTTACAATATTTTGCCGCCATTTATAAATAAACTATATTCATCTCACCAGTAAAACCCCATTGAAAATGTTTCCAAATTCAATGAATTCAGATATTAACAAAATAGCAAGTTTAGTTTCAAGTCAACTCAAGATCCTGGATGATTCAATCATTATAAAACCAGATCATTTTGATTGGAATCGTATTAAAAGAACTCCCCAATATTTTAAACAAAAAATCAAATTTAATGGTGGTTCATATACAGTTGATGAAAGTTTTAATGATTTAGAGAATGAATTAAATAATGAAGAAAAGACAATTAAAAGTTTGATCAAATATGTTAAACCATTTGGACAAAGTATGATTCAATTATTGGAAATTTCAAAAGAAATAAGTGATGGATTTCAAGATTTAATTGATCCTTATAATAAATTGATCACAGAAGGAAATGTTGATGAACATGAATATGAAGCTTGGAATAGGATTCATGAATATAAGAATGTTGTTAAACTGATTAATGTTGAGAATGATGTTAAAGAAGTTATGAATATTATTGAAAATAAACTAGAAGAATGTTTAAAGATTATTAAAACTATTCAAAAGAAGATTAGTATTAGACAATATGCTTTATTGGATTATGATAAGGTTTATAATAATCATGAATCATTATTATTAAAACAAGAACAAGGAGATTTAACCTTAAAACAAACAAATCAATTATATAGTCTCAAAAGGAAAACTGAAGAGAATAAACTAAAATATGATGAAATTAATAATATCTTAAAGATTGAATTACCTTATTTCTTCAAATTAATGCAATTAATAATTGAACCAATTCAAGTAATGGTTTATTTTGTTTATTTGATCTATGTTTATCAAACTTCATCAAATTTAGAACCTTTTTATAAAATTACTGGGGATATTAAACAATTAGTTGATGATTTCGAAATTCAAAATAAACCAATTGTTGCAGAAATCGAGAAATTCTCAATTATTAATTTCCAAAGTCAATTCTTAAAGGATTTGTTAACTACTGAAAATAATGAAACTGGTTCACAATATTGTCATGCTATTTTCAATTTCCAAGGTCAAGAAAAGTCAGATTTATCAATTCAAAAGGGGGATACTATTAAGATTTTAGAAAGAGAAGGTGAATGGTGGAAAGGCGAATTAGATGGGAAAGTGGGATACTTTCCTTCAAATTATGTTAGATTGTTGTGATCTCTCGTTTTTTCATTAAATAATGCTCTCATATAATGCTGTCTCATATATAAAAAATAAATAATAATTTAAGTATACTTTCGATCAACCGGGTTATTCTTCTCTTATACTATTAAGATATCGTTCAACGCAACTCTGACAACAGAATTGTTTTCTAATTGGGACATTTTTATTCATAAGAATATCCCACCATTCGTAGACTTCAGCCATTGGTTCCACGATAATTACAATACATTGATTACAAACATCCCCGTATTTCCCCTTTGTAATTGCTTGAATAATTGAATTATGATGTACTTTAGGTATACTTCTTTTCCAAGTTTTTGTTTCTTTATAAGTAACATCATATTTTGCTATTTGATTTAAACAAAGATTCTTTAATGACGGGACTGGCGTTGGTCTATTTGTTAGACTGATGATTGGTGTTCTGTACTTGCATTTATGATTGTTATATACTATATTCATAGGAATGGCTGCAGTGTTGGGGATATCATCATCGTTTGGTATTGGTTTAAATGGATTAGGACCAGCTAGTAAAGTATGCAATTTTGGTAAATTCAAGATTTGCCAAGGCAACCATTCCAATTGATTAGCACCCAATGATATATCCATTAGATTGGTTAATTTCTCAATTAATGGAGGTAAATATGTTAATCTATTTTGTCGAAGTGATAATACATTTAATTTGGTAAATTTGAATAAGGTTGGTGGAACCATATATAATTTATTATTTGATAAATATAATTGATACAGAGCCAGGTCAAGTTGATTATTATTATTTCCAAATATGACTAATTTATTCATATCTTTGATTTCATCAGGAAGTTCATATAAATTCATTGACTCTAAATTAATGATAGTTTTCACTTCTTCAAAAGAATGAAGGATTATGGATCGTGCTTTGTCATAACTACTTTGTCGAAGACTTTCATAAGATGTTTCATCCATATTATCCCCCATAGATGACGGCAATTGATTATTAAAACTACCAGATGCACCTTTAAATCGATTGAATCTATCAATTCCAAAATCTGCGTCAGAACTCAATATGACTCGGTTTCTTCTCCTGGAAGGACTTTCATTAATATCTACTTTCTTTCTAGGCGACGGTTGAATAAATAAATGTTCGATCTCACTAGGAGGTATTTCTGCAAAATTGGCTTTAGGCGAATCAGGAATTGGATAATTTCTATGCGTATTTGTATTAAAATCAAATTCTGATATTAATGGAATATCTAACAAGGGACTACTTGGAGGTAGTGAGTATGGTTCGTTATTGTCATTATCATAATCATCATCGACATCATTGTCGCTGTTGTCAATATCTATTTCCGTTGGTTGTTCACTACTAACATGAGTATCAATTCTCTTAACATCATCACGTTCATTAAAACTTTCACCCATTTTCCTCTTCAATCTAGGAGCGAAATCCAATTTCCGTCGTAAATGATTGAAATCGTTCGTTGAAGTTGTTTGATTATTAATAGAAGATGAAGTACGCGTATGGTATTGACTTGACGCATTTTCATCTATGATTGATCTATGACGTGGAGTAGTATTTAATGGTAATGGATCATTAAATGATGAACTTGTAAATGCAAATGGAAGTAATGGATTATTTTTCTCCATCTTGTATTAATCACCCCTTTATTCCACTGTATCTCCTTGGTGTGTGGGTTTAGTTCTAAGGAAGTAATGCGCAAATGGTTTGTTTATCAATTGAACTGACAGACTAAAAAAAATTAATTAGTAAACAATAAAAAATGCGAGAAAATCGGCATTGAAAAATCAACCATTCAAACTTCTGTAATAGGGTGGAATATTAATTGAGTGGGGGGAAGCCAGGGGGTCCATTTGTTTTGAAATTGTGTTTAATTTTAGACCCATACTAAAAACTAATTTAATCAGCTAATCCCCAAAGTTTCACTTTGACTTTCCATCTATAATTTTAGAAGGATGTTACATCAGTCCCTTGGTTAATATTCTTAATCACCCAAAAGATTAAAAAAAAATAATCCCGACGCGGTCAGGTGACTTTGATATTTGATTTCTTTCTGATGAGATCTCGGCTTTAAAAAAAAAAAAATTTATGAACAAAGATATTTGACTCATACAGAATTAAATTGATACAAAAATACACAAAAATAACAATCTATTTGTATTATTAGGTTGTTGGGAGCAAAAATAAGGTCGTACCCGGATTCGAACCGGGGTTGTTCGGATCAAAACCGAAAGTGATAACCACTACACTATACAACCAGTTGTTATGTTCGTAAAAACTGTTTTTAATGACTAATATTGTATTTTGATAGATTTTCGATTCGAATATTTCTCGAGATTTGACACTGAAAAAGGTATGATACTAAGTTATATATGGTTGCTGTTATATCTGTCTCTCTCTAGAACTTCTTGTTTATGTTTAAATGAGGTATTATGGTGTTTTTCTTTAGTTGTTTGTTGTTTTAAATTATTTACTCATATTGGTAAATTTTTTTGCAACAATTTTCTTTCTTTGAATTGAGCCAGCCCTTAAACTAAAGAATAACCAGAAACGATACTCATTGATTTTCAGGTTTCATTCCTAGAACGGTTCACTGCAGAACAAGAGAGGACGACTAATTGCTATCTATACGGAATAACCTGTGTTCGAGAAAAACAACGATATCGCTCAATAAATGGGTTCAGAGGTATGGTTCGGAGTATTAGCTGAAGAGAAAAAAAAAGTAAACTTCAAATCATCCCCATACTTCATCATCTTCCTTCCAACAACAAAATATAACAACAAATGTCATACAACGGAATAGGACTACAGACTCCAAGAGGTACAGCTACATCAGGATACGTCCAAAAAAACGTCTCATCAAAAGCAAAAAATCCCGGCTATTATCAACAACGAAAAGAAAATGAAAAGCAACAGGTTTCCAAAGGGAAATTGTTAATTGAAAAGATTAACAAACAACAAGCAAAGGAAGAAATAGTGAAGCATGAAAAATTACGACAGATTGAAGTTAAATGTTGCGAGTTGAGAGATGATCTTGAAGATGAGGATGTCGATGATAAGGAAATAGATAAAAGAGTTGATGAACTTCGGAAGAAACTTTTGAAAGAATTGGAATCTCCACGTCCTACTGTACAAAATAAATCAGATTCGGTTGATAAGATAGAGGCAGAGGCATCTCGAATAAATGAAGATAAAGATCAGAAAACTGAGAAAAGTGCTTCAACAAAGAGATTTGGCTATGTGCCTCGATATCCATCAGAAAGACCCGATAAGGCTACTTAATAGATACTTCATATATTACTCAAATAACTATAGATACTTTGCAATACCACAACAAGAAACAATCTAGCATATTTCTATCATATATTGGAATTTTTTTGTCATTTTCACTTACTGACCTCACCTTGAGAGGTTTCTTGCTCAATCACAACCTCTTTTGGTTCCACTGCAACTTCTTGTTCAACTTCGACTTCTTTTGATTCCTCAGGAACTTCTACTTTACTTGCGTCGAGAACATCGTTTTGTTCTTTTTCCTCTGGTACAGCCTCATGCAGTTCTTCGGAAGGTTCCTCAGCCTTAACATCGGCTTCCTTGTCTTCATCAGCTTGTTCATCACCACCAGCTGCTTGATCTTCTTTATCTTCTTGAATAAGTTCATCTGGTTTGGTTGATCCAATAACCTCTTCTGATTCCTTAGGCTTTTCTTCCTCAACTACATCTTCTTTAACAAGATCTTTCACTTCCTCATCGTCTTCCTTCTTCTGCTCAACTGCAGCACTACTTTCCTCATTCACATCAGACTCATCTTCAATAATATTTAACCTCTCAGTACTCTCAGCAAGAATCAGTTGTTCATCATCCATAGGCTCGCCTAATTCATTAACCGGCCCCCGAATCACTGGCCATTCGACTACTGGTTCTGGTTCCGGAGGTGGCGCTTGTGATTTCTTAAACCTCAATGACCATAAACTTCCAGTTTCTAATTTGAATTTACTTTCAGAAACGATATTGACTGGTTCTTGTAATGATTTTGGTAATTTCTTCCCACGAGGACCTTTTGCTCTTCTGGCTGGAGCATTAGATTGTTCTTTCTCAGTTTCATCAATTTCTTCTTTTTCGGAAGTATCTTCCTTATGATGGAGATGCTTTTGGGCTAATAATGGATTAAACATACCAGGTAACGGGATTCCCTTCCCTACTACTCCCTTTAATGACGCAATTTTTGATTTTTCAGGCGAGTATTTAGGTGGTGAATTACTTCTCTTGAAATCATCTTGATTAGATTGGTCAAAGAGTTGTTGCTGGAATGCGGCAATTCTAGAAGAAAGCTTCTTGGGTTTTGGTGGTGGTGGTTTTGGTTTTGTAGATTCGGAATCGGATCCTGGTTGAGAAAAGGTCTTGGTTGGACGACGAGGAATGATTGGTTTTTGGGGAGGTTCTGGTTTAGTAGCTTCTGGAGATTTCTTGGTTGGGGATTCAGCTTTTCTGGGGCGTTGGGGAATGACTGGGATTGGAGTCGATCCTTTCTTCTCTTCTTTCGCCTCTTCTTTAGTCTCTTCTTTCTTCTCAGTTTCTACAATAGCAGGTGCAACAACATCTTTTTCAACAACGGCTCCTTCTGCAGCTACTACTTCTTCTTCTCCAACTTCAGGCTTACTTTCCACAGATTCAACCAAAACTTGCTCTTCTGCGACAGGCTCAGCTTCTTTGACTTCTTCTTCCTCTCCAACAACCACGGCTTCATCGTCTTTCTCTTTCTCCTTCTCTACTTCTTTCTTATCAATAACTTCAAATCCATTATGATCATCACCTTCATGCTCAATTTGCTCTTCTTCTTCTGCTTCTTCTTCCAAAATATTCTCAGTATCAAACCTACTAGATTCCGTATTGGTATGAGTTCTTCCAGCTAAAACCGAATCATCTTTTTCTTGAACAGTTTCCAAATCATCATCAAAAACAGAACTATCAGAAGCCAATTGTGCTTCATCATCTACTTCATCCTTGAAGGTGATCTTAGTATTGGAATTCCCTGGAGTGGTTTCACCATCACCAAAATTAGGTTGGTCAGATTGAGCAGCGGCATCGATGGCGATTGAAAATTGTTCCAGGTCAATCTTGGGGATGGATTTTTTGTCAACATCAGTGGGTGGATTTTCTGGAGTAAATGGAGCTTCTTGTGGTTCTTCAACTTCATCTTTTGAGTCTTCAATTTCCGGTGTGGCTGTCTTCGATCCTGGTCTAATTGGACGCTTTGGTACAACTGGGACTGGTGATCCCCTGTCATTTGATCCAGGTTCAACAGAGGTTGGTCTAGTTGGACGTTTTGGAATGACGGGGATTGAAGTTGAACTAGACGATTTTGAGGTTGGTCTTTGTGGGATAATTGGAGTTGACGGTTTTGTTGATTCAGATTCAGATCCAGATTCTTCTTCTTTTGGATTTGAATCTTGTGTAGATACAATCGGAACAGTAGATCTTTCTGATTGAGGTTCTTGAGTTGATTCTGGATCAATTGTGTCCACAACAGGAGTTGGATCGACAGGAGTATCGGTTGATCGTTTAGGTCTTGGTGGGATAATTGGATCTGGTTTCACATTGGTATCTTGCTTTTCTTCTTCAAGTTTGGCAGTGACAGAGTCAATGGTTGGAGTCAATTCAGCTGGTTCATTGACTATAGGTGATTCAGAAGACAGCATTGCTTATTATCTGTTTGTAACTTTGGTGGTTGTAAGTAAGATAAGTGGAGAGACAAAGATAACCGACTAAAGTGAAACACATTTTTTTCTGTGTAAAAATCACACCAGTCAGGGGGGGCAGAAACACCACAGGGCACATCAACACACAGAAACACAGACAAGCAGATCTCACACGAGAGGAGGATTAAATTCTAAGAGAGAGAATCTTAAATTAGATGTATATATATATTATTAAGCAATTACCCTCTATTTATATGTAAAACGCAATTCTAAGAGTAATTTAATCTAAAGATATCATTAAACACATAATATGAATTACCTTCTGGAATCAAATGGAAGACTTGAGAATAACGTTGAGCATTTTGCTCTTCATCAATCAAAAGTTCACCAGTAACCATGACTAAGATATCACCTGCTGGGGATGCTGGTTGAGCATCTAAAGTAGAAACTCTATGACTAACCTTTTGGAAAGGTAATGAAACCAATTTTTCAATAATATCTTTAGCACCTTGTAATTGAGAGGTTTCAAAAGTTAACATAGATTCAGCTCTGTATAAGTTACCTAATTGAGTCCTGTCAGAATCGAATTGTTGGTAATAGAAAGTACAGAATTCAGTAGCAACAGTGTTAAAATCAACTACTCATTTTGTTAGTAAATCAAATTCATTCGTATTGACAAGGTCTCTTTCGCAACTGGAAATAACGAATCATTCCATTAGATCTAGAAGCATATATCTTTTTATACTGCAAATAACATACCAGACATCTTGGATATTAATTAATAGTTTGTGATATTCTTCTGATAGTTAAACGAAAGATTGCATCTCTCTTTTGTTGACAGCCTGAAGATCAATCGTAGATGTGGAACGAAAAAAAACCCACGAAGCGTGCTCCGATTTACACACCTGAGAAAATCTAAGACTGGCCCAGCCAAGTGGCCATCAACAGAGATTACAAGTCCTACAATTAGTGTATCTTGTCATTTATTTGTCTACTCTTGTATTGTTAAGACTATTTCATACAATAGAGTAACCCTTTCAAGAATAATCAATCAAAAATAAATTGTGTTTAAAAAAAACCATGTAAATAAATCAATATTTCGTAATTTTTTTTATATCTATATTTCCCATTCGCTATATTTATTAAACCAATTGAGAGTAATCTTTTAAGACACCCTTCATATGAACATTCGTAATTCTTCCTCTTCTTGCCTTCTTTTGTTTCTTGTCCTGTTGTTGAGGCTTCTTTTTAATCAAAGCAGGATCAGCACCAGTAGGTTTCAAACCTTGATCCAATAATGCTTGATATAAATTATCCGGTTCTGGAAGTTTGGTATTTATCCACATTTCTTTAAATTCATCTTCTATTGTCCCTAATTCTCCACCAGCATTTGCCCAAACTAATCGTGGGGCATTTTCTTTTTTATTCCGTAATACCAATATTTTATTCTCTGCTTCTAATTCATTGATTGCTTGTAAACAACCAGCCCAACCATCTTTTAAATCCTTGACCGATATGCCTTTGAAAGTAGCTTGTCTTCTAAGGAAATCCAATAAATCTTCTCCACTTCGAATATTATGTAATGAAACATATTCTAAAGTAGCATTTACCGGATCATATTTAATCCTATCGATTTCTCTTAATAATGGTAATAATGTATGCGTTATATCAAATGATAAATAATTTTGTAATTTTGAAACAGGTACAGGTGTATCATGTTCTTTAATATATTCAACTGCTAAATGTAATTGAGTTGATAAATGCGAACCGGACATTCCGTCCATAGCAGCAGAAGAAGATTTCTGTCGTTTTAAAACCTCTGCCATGCTATTACTACTACCGGTAGCCAGTCTTTTATTATTATTGGTTGTTGTAGTATTACCATTTGCATCAGTTGAATTACGTAAAGGGCTGGTTATTAAGGGGGATGTAGGTTTGACAAGTACTGGTTTCCTTGCCACCGTTACTGATGGTCCACTCTTGATCTTATTCTTGAATGCTGATAACTGTGCAGATAAATCCGACATGATGGTGATGATGATGATGATGTATGCAAGTTGTTGGGTGAATCCAAGTGTTAGATGGAGTGAAGGACAAAGAAGCAACATATAATTAAAATCAGAAAAGAAATTCTTGAAACAAATGATTTTTAAAATATCCAAAGTGAGACTCATGTAACTTGTTACCCGGATACCCCATTGGTGAGAGTATAAAAAAAACATTGCGAAAATTTTTCTCATTATTCAATTCAATTTCTTCTTTTCTTCCATACGGGATCTATTAAATAACTCTTGTATCAATAAGTCGTTAGCGTTAACATATAGGAGCTAATCAGATATGAGATGTTGGTTTAAATTTTCCAGAACAAATCACAATTCTCAAGAGCAGAGATGTTTTTGGGAATTGCCAGCTTTAAAACCATCGCTGTTGGAGGTTAGCCGCTAATTATTTTAGGTCAGGCAGATCCATGAAATGGTGATGACCTGATGTCTGGAACATTTTTAATATATTTGTAGAAGAAAAGTTGAAAAACGGAGTGATTTAGAGAGGGAATCCTTTCAGAAAGTTTTCCGCCATTTTATCTGCGTTCATTAAGCTAAATTCGCTGACCATCGACTTTGCTACCAACGAAAGGTAATATAGTGCAGTGACTTAGATAAATGGATCCAAATAAAATGGTAGATGGCTTTCTGTTGTTCCCGTAGCGTACTAATACATTTCTTCAAATCAACACACCTTAATACATAAAAAGAAAAAATATTGTAGGTCGATATCTAAGGTTTGAATGTCAGAAATAATACACTTTTTATTTTCAAGAGAAGTAAGCTATATATAAATACCAGTATTAAGAGCTAACTAAAAACAAAAATGACTTTTTCTTTTCTTCATGTCAAATAATTTTCTCCAATTCTTCCTCTTCTAATTCTTTCTCTTCTCATAATCTCTTGAACTTCTGATAATAACAGATTATTGATAATCTTACTTGCAACCCTACACCCATCAATTGTATTTAAATCAATACGTCTCGCCCAGGGTAAGTTCTTATACATTCCAGAATCGGTTAAATCAAGGACTAAATCCTGTCTATATTGTGCTGGATCATCTTCTTCATCTTCAAGATCGGAATAATACATATCGTAATCGTCATCAGGTGAGAATCCTTGATAATGTAATGATTCTGGAGAATGTTTCAATAATAAATTAGAAAGGAATGATTGGATACAAGATTGATTTAACCAAATCATGGAAGATAAATTGAGATATTTCAAGTTTCTTCCATTCATATTGTTATTATAAACATTATAATTATAATAAGGAGATGTTCCTCCTTTCTTACCATGCATTTTAATGATTGCCATTAACAATTCATCTTCTTTAATTTTTTTCAAAAATACACTATTAATTGATTTTAAATTCAAATCGGAAAGATATACTTTTCCATCCCCTTTATTTAAATAAGAAATACCGGATACCGTACTTGGTAAAGGGGATAATAAACTATTATATTTTGTTGTTGGTTTTGAAAATGTCGTGAGTTCATATAAGGATGATGCAGCTGATTTTATTGATTGACTAGATTTGAATAAATTAGAAGCTAATTTCAAATCCATATTATTGGAATTTCCAGCTAGATTGAAAATACTAGCTTGATCATAGGATAAAACATCATCAATTTCATCAGATTTCATAATATTATCGATTCTTTCAACTAAATCTTTAGGATAATTATTCATGATATCGAAATTTTGATATTTAAAAACCATTGATCGACTAATTTCATAATCCATTGAAAGGCAAAGATTTCCCAAATTAATGGATTCAACATTTGGACATAAATTGATTAAATGTAAAACATATCCAATTGGGATATCTTTAGATGAGGAATATTGTAATAAGAATTTACTAATTAAAGGATGAACACTTGAATTTCTTGCTAATATTGAATTTCTTGAATCTTGAGCCAGCAAGTCAAGGGTTTCCAATCTTGGTCTTTTTCTTGAAGATAATTCTCGTGAATTTGATGATTTATTATTACTATTACTCTTGTTCCTCTTAAAATATTTGAATGGTCTTGTTAATCTTGTTGAAGATAATGATTTAATTGATTTGGATGATTTTCCTGAAGAAATCAGATGTTGGGTATTGGAAGAAACTTTTGCTAAAGCGGTAGTTGAAACTTGATTATAAACTGAATATAATGGATTTGTTTTAAATTTCCAATCTCTCCAACCTGCAAGAACCTTTGCATCTGAATCATCCTTGCCAGTTGATTCATGATTATTTAGACGTGGGTGGACATTATTATTGTTCTCTTCTTGATCTTCAAGTATTGCCACTGCATTAATTGCTGCATTGACATTTTCTTCTTCTTCTTGGGCTTCTTCGTCATAACCTGGCTTTATACCGGATAAATCAATGGTTCTGACATATTGACCTACATTTGAATTCAATCTTAAATATGAAATAAATTGTGCAAATCTGTAAGTTGTTGTAAAATGTAAATCTTGATAATAATAAGGTTTTGCTAAGAAATAAAACAGTTTGCAAGTATACATGCAACTCTTATAATCAACTTTTGAATCAACTAAATAGAAAACATAATCTTGAATTTCAATCGGTAAATCTTTGAATTGCATTGAAGGAACTATCGGAGATTTTCTTTTGGATGAGGTTGCTATTTGTTTGGTTGAAATTGTTGTAGTGGAAGAAGCAAGTAAATTAGGATTACTTATTCTCATTGATATACTTCGACTAACATCACTCAAGAGTGATTTATACTTCATTTTAAACAGACTGGTGCTATTGTTACCATTTGATCCGTTGGCAGTTGCATTCTTCTTCTTTTCAAATGATGAACGTAATCCATTCAATTCATTTTGACTTAAAGGGATTAATGAATGAGTTCTATAGTCATACTTAGCATTAGGATTAAGTAGTGATCTATATGGAGGTAGATGGCTGTGGAAATCAACAGTATCAGTCATAATCATTTATATAATAAAAAGCAAAGCTATTAAAACTAAAAATAATACAGGGTCCTTGTGATTGAGGGAAATGGAAGTTATTNCATACTTAGCATTAGGATTAAGTAGTGATCTATATGGAGGTAGATGGCTGTGGAAATCAACAGTATCAGTCATAATCATTTATATAATAAAAAGCAAAGTTATTAAAACTAAAAATAATACAGGGTCCTTGTGATTGAGGGAAATGGAAGTTATTAAAATACAGGATTGAAGTAGTAGTGCTAAGTACAATAGTAATAGCAATGTAGGGTGGCAAATAGTAAATACCCTTATAAAATGATAGCTCAAGGAATAAAAAGTAGAATTAAGAAAAGAAAGGTTTGAGGGATATTTATAAATTTATTTATATAAAATTTTATTTTAATTAAAATAATATGGGGGGAGTAATTAAGAGGGGGCGTATTTGATAAAGGGGTAACAAAAATAGGAAACCTAAAAAAAATATTTTTTTTTTTTAAAAAAGTGCATAAGATTACAGTTGAATAGCAAAACAAAACAAAAAATAAATTTGATTGATCGATGACTAAGGGATTGCAATTAATAAACCTTTAATGACGGAAGTAGGGCACTATAGGGATAAACCCCCCTACCAATGGGGGTTTACATCCGCATTCATAATTTCTAAAGAGAGAAGATAATACCCTTCGTGCAATTGTAACTATAACTTTGTAAGAATCTAACTAAAGATCAGATGTTTTGTTTTGATTTGGTCTGTCACGAGACACCAACTGAAATCTGCAACATAATTCCAATATTGCCNATCAGATGTTTTGTTTTGATTTGGTCTGTCACGAGACACCAACTGAAATCTGCAACATAATTCCAATATTGCCATATTCACACATTTCTCATAACTCATTCGACACACAATACACAGTCAAGTTCAACCAATACATTTTGTCTATTAAAAGAACGCAATTAATATTCTTTACATGTCACTCGGGAATCATAACCTTAAATTGGAATCATAACCTTAAATTTTTTTTAATCAGCTTTACTACAAAGAACTGTGGTGGTTGCCAACTCTCCAATTAAACTTTCTCTGGCTAATTGGTTACAGCCAGTTGCTTGGTAACTTAGACAATCAAAAGGCGGAATCCGTTTCGGTTTGTTCCACGTTTCTGTAAATTGAGTCTTTGTAGTGCCGTACTTTGTTTGTTTAAGGTTCTCCAAAAAAATCTCACTTTTATTTCTCGCTTTAATCTATTTCCGTAAATAAATAATCCTTTTTATGACACAAAAATCTAAATTCGTCAACTTATGAAACTAATTATGAAACTAATTCATGTCCATACGTTGATTTTGGAAGTATTATGCCCCTCGATCGATGTTTAATAAGATCAATGGTTCATTGTTCCTTACGATATACGTCTGTTGGAACTCTTTGGCATGTTCTCCTAAATACATTTCCAATTCTAGACAGCCAGACTTTTTTCTTATCAACAACTCTAACAATACAATCGACATCCCTTTGTGTTCCAAGAAAATACAGTGCCACACTGTGTTTCAAAGAAAAGTCAATCTAAACAATAAAAGGAAGATCCTTTTGGGATATTTTTTCTTAGTAATTCCATAGACAAAACTAAAAAAATAGCCATCGATCGTATTTTCAAGCTTATTTTCTTGGCTAATTTAGGGGTAACAATAAACAAAAAAAAACTTTGACGTGACGGGTCCAACTTCCGTTATATGACAAATGATACATTTCGGATGAATATCCCAATGGAGTAAGTCTCCCCCAAATTATTCATCTACAAGTCCAAACGAGTGGCTCCTTTAAGAAACAATTAGAAATGAGTTAGTTGTCATTTAGAATAACTATGGAGAAGGAGAAGGAAAGCCTCTCGGAGTTGGCAGACATTATCAAGATGATTGCAATTGATTACACGGTATTATCGCAATCTAAGGTCAGTTGGACGCTTTTTCACGAAGTTAATAACGACCAAGTTTACCCTTACTTCCGTCCCGTGATATTAAGATGAACAAATAGCCCAAGGGGTTAAAATAATAATCATCAAGTGCCTTGTACAAATAGGCCCCAACTTCGCCTCGTTCAATTATTCCCCTTTTTTTGACAAAAAGTAGGGGGTTAGAATCAATAATATGAGAGAGATGTTAAGTTGGCCCCTTGAAAGCAACTTACTATAAATAACTGACTTTTGTGGCTGTTTGTAAGTCCTTACTCAATACCCCAGAATTCCAAAAAACATCGTACAAGACAAAACTTAGTGTCGCGACAAACATCAAAAGTTAGGAAAATGGAGTAGGAAACCCTTAGTTACAGTAACACAAGCCGATTATGAACAAAATCACAAGAGCTAGTGTCACCACATAGCGATTAAGAAAATAACTAAACTTGGTGGTCAAAATTCTTATCCAATTGATATCGGTAAAGTAATAACGTTTCCGAAACAACTTGTGGAAATTGAAATAAAGACTGAAATCAAACCCTAGAACTATTTCAAAACTACAATTTATCAATAACCCTTTTGGCAATATGCCGAATGGATTATCCGAGATACGGTATTTCATGATCACAGAAATGCTAGCTGACACAGAGTAATTTGTATATTGTTTCCATGTCGAACAAAAACAACCGGAAGTGTGGACAGTGTGGACACAACTTGCGAATGGACAATTTGATTTGAATAATTCTGGCCAAATTTCTCATGGAAAACCTGGAAGTAACATCTCTTACATTAGAGAGGCCTATCGTAGAGCAGAGAAACCGATTCTGCGACTGGGAAAGGACATCAAAAACTAAGTGAACATTGTAAATATGATCCTGAACGAGTTTTTGGAGGAAGGAGGTCCTTCAATAAACCTCCATCTGTATACATAATGACGACTAGAAGATTATTTCTATCATTTCATATTCTCAAGGGCAGCATAGAGATATAGATGAATTAACAAAAGAAAGAATTGTGAGCATATATTAAAACTGATTTAACTGTAGAATCATATTCGAATCGAGGAACCTTAGAGTTAATCATCCAAAAATCAAGGGAATCAATGGTATAGTCGACGGTAAATACAAAACAGGAAAATTCAATCCGTTCAAGTCAACGGAAGTAAATGGATGAAATCAACAGCACTGCATTGAAAACTTAGTTTTAATCCGAAAATTAACAGAGAAATAGGACTGAACACGGACAATGTTGGCGACGGAATTATTTTTTAAAGTTTTAGTGAGTTACAACAGAGATCCATTATTATTTGAATATAAACAAAGCTGACTAAGGATTGTCAGTATACGACGACGTCTAATGAGCATCCACAGTTTCCAATTGTGTCACCAGTACACACACATATGTATTATGCAAAGAACAACATTGTTTTTGGCTGATTATGACCTTGAACGCATGTTGAAAAGGACTGATTCATTGGTGCGTATAGAAATATGTAATTATTTTGCCACATATCATCGAGACACTTTGAGTAATTTAGCTGTGTAGGAGTGTCGATTTGGATTGAGCTTTCCTTTAGTGGCTCTAATATAGACCTGAGTGTTGTAATGGGTATAATCGATATTCCCGCTTCAATTCAGACTTCTAATCTGGAGACAGGCAATTCCCCTCCCAACACTTAAAGTTTTGTAATTCTTATTGATTTTTTTTAAATTTTATATCCAAAGACACATAAGGAAGTGTATAAACTTTGACATCTCTAACATAATTTGACCTTCATTGTTTCTGGAAGTGTACCGGATTTAGAGTTCTGTTATCATCAAAAATAGATAAACAAGTTACGATATGCAGATCAAAGCTTGGTATTTTTTAATCTTCATGGATTTATTGATTGTTCCCTGCATGTTTCTGCCGGGGTTATTTACAATGACGTTTAACAAAAGTCTGATATTTTTTAATCTCCATGGATTTATTGATTGTTCATTGCATGTTTCTCCCGGCGTTATTTACAATGAGGATTAACAAAAGTGCCAAGCCATCGAATCCTGCAACGCTAAGTACGATTAATGTTTCTAGAAAATACTCCTGCGTAAAAAATAGTAATTTCATGTAGGTCTATTGACAAT